TGGGTGCCTGTGCCATGCCCTGGGTGCCTGCACTGAGTCCTGAGTACCTGTGCCATGCCCTGGGTGCCTCTGCCATGTCCTGGATACCTGCGCCATGTCCTGGGTGCCTGTGTGTGCCCTGGGTGCCTGCGCCGTGTCCTGGGTGCTTCCGCCATGTCCTCGACGCCTGCACCGTGTCCTGGGCACCTGTGCCATGCCCTGGGTGCCTCTGCCATGTCCTGGGTGCCTGCGCCATGCCCCGGGTGCCTGCGCCATGCCCTGAGTGCCTGCACTGAGTCCTGGGTACTTGTGCCATGCCCTGGGAGCCTCTGCCATGCCCTGGGTGCCTGCACTGAGTCCTGGGTGCCTGTGCCATGCCCTGTATCAGGGTCTGCACAGCCCTCGCGAGCCCCAGCCTGTCCAGCGACAGCAATTGTTTGCTTTTATGAGGCATGTATGTGCCCTGAGGGGATTCTAAGTCTTTGGGATTTGGTGGCGAGCTGGTGGTGGTGGAGCAGTCTTGGAGCAGAAACACAGAATCCAGGATGACCTGAAGTCCAGAGCCCCTGGAGGGACATTTCCAAAGCCTGAACTCCTGCTCGGAGCATTTGCATTGTGGGTGTTGAACCTGTGATCCAAAACCCTTCAGAGCTTCGGTGCATGCCTGCAGTGTGGGGGGCCACCACCTCTGCCTGGTTCTGGAACATTCCTGGCTTCTGACATGGAAGCACCCTGCCTGTGAGGGGTCTTGTCTCTGCCCGTTCTTCTCAGCACCTTCCTGGAATCCATTCTTGGGGTCTGGGTGTGTGGGCTGCTGTGTGCCTGCAGGATCATCCCATGGCTGTGTGAGCCAGAGTCTGAGGTGAGGGACCCTGCCGCTGAGGGTCATCCTGTGTCCCCTGTGGCCTCTGCGCGTGCTGCCCTGACTTTGTGGGCACCTGTGGGTGTCAGAGCACCTACTCGGGACTAGATCCACCCTACACTCCATGGAACCATCCTAAACAGTCTTCAGGGGCTGGTTTGTGTCCCGACAGCTCCACTTCCCATCCAGCTCCTTGCTTGTAGCCTGGGAAAGCAGCAGAGGCTGGCCCAAGGCCTGGGGCCAGCATGGGAGACCCGGAAGAAGCTCCTGGCTTTGGATCGCCTCAGCTGCAGCCATTGCAGCCATCTGGGGAGTGAACCATCAGACAGAGGAGCTTTTTTTTTCTTTTGCCGGGACTGGTAGGACCCTCGGCAGGAAGCGGCCTGGGAGCTGCCAGGGGATGTGAGGTCACAGGGGCTGGGCGAGTCCCCCAGTCCGGGTCGGAGGGCTGAGCTGTCCCGCGGCGCTGGTGGTGGAAGCGTGATCTGGAGCTCCAATGCCAGAAGCCAGCCTGGGCTGGGGGTGGGTTGCTGTTCTTGCTTGTGTTCAGACCCCCTGTGTCTCCCAGTGTGGTCTGGGGGCACCCCGGGTCTGCGGGCACTTCGTGGTGTGGTTTCTGCAGCCATTTGCTGGCGTTTCTGCCAGACGGGGCCTGTCCATGGAGGCAGCTGGCATAGGAGCCATCTGCCTATCCTCACATCCAAGGGCAGGTGGGCGGGCTGTGCTGGGGCCTCGCCCCGCCTCCAGCAGCTCCCGCTCCTTTGAATGTCCAGGAGTAGCAAGGACATGTTCCAGCATCCCGATTGTGTCCTGCACCTGTGTCTCCAGAGGTTGGTTCATGTGTGTCTGTAGCTGCCCTGCCATGAGACCTGGCTGTCCTTTCCAGTGCTGGCCACCTACCTGGCCCCATCAAACTTTTGAGGCATCCCTCCGTCTGCTGATCCACCCCCCAATGGCTGCAATGACTGGAGCTGGGATCATCTGAAGCCAGGAGCCAGGAGCCTCCTCTAGATCTCCCACGTGGATGCAGGGTCCTAAGGACTTGGCCATGCTCCGTTGCTTTTCCAGGCCACAGGCTGGGAGCTGGATGGGCGGTGGAGTAGTCGGGACTTGAAGTAGTACCCATGTGGGGGATGTCGGCACTGCAGGTGGAGGATGAGGGCGCTATACCACAGTGCCAGGTTACCCTCTTGACAACTGTGGTCTGGGGGATAGGCAGCCACAACCCCTGAGCCAATAGAGGCTGAGAACTGGGGTGGTGGGAGGGGCCTCCCCCAGGCCCTGCCCCTGCCTCTTGGCTCTGCCTGGAAGACTTCAGTCCCTCGTTGGTTATGGCTCTCTGCCTGCCCTCCTCTCCCTCTGCAGTCCTCCGGGGGTGGAGGATGGGGCCTGGAGTCAGGGCGCCCGGTCTCAGCCCGTGGCTTCCCCTGGTGTCCGCTCGGCCCCTTCTCTCCCTCCACTTTCTGCCTTGTTTTTCTCCTTGCTCTGTTCCTCCCACCTTGTAACAGGGGTCCCCACCCCGATGGCTCCTTCTCACTATGGGCCTGGGGCCACTGCCTGGATCTTCTCAGCGAGAGCCAGGGCCCCAGGAGAGTGGCGTGGCCTCCTCCAATGGTAGATGCCAAGCATGCAGGTGCTGTAGAAGGTTCCAGAAACAGGAGCAGCTCTGGGGAACGGCCTTCCTGCCCAGGCCCCGCCCAGCTCTCCGGGGCTGCTCCTTGCTGCTTCTCCCTGGTACTGGAGGGTTGGGTAAAGCACAGGAAATTAAAAAAAAAAAAAAAACCTGGCCTTTGAAGTGTTGGGTGGGGAATGTCGTCTTTCCAGTTTGGGGAGTGAGCAGGCACAGCCAGGGGTTTGGGTGTCTACGGAGCTCCCTGGTGCGGCCCCCCACCTCCCCAACCTCTCACCTCTCATGGAGAGGCTGGCCCGGGCTGCTGGCCGCTGTCCTGCTGCCCACTGGCCCCTTGGGTCACCTCCCTGCACAGTGGAGTACAATGGGCCACTACATCGCAGGGGGACACTTACTTGCACAGAGGGGAGCCCCCACCTATTTGGGGGGTCCACTTCCTGTGTGAACTGCACAGCGGGGAGATTCAAGCTCCCAGAATTCCAGAGGCCCCGTCCCAGCTGCTGGCACCCAGGGGACTTTGTGGCCCCTTCTGCTTGCTCCTTTAACAGGGGAGTCCACTGGGAGAGGACTTCACAGGCCCGGTGGCAGCCGTGGGGTGCAGGCCGGTCAGCCTCGTTCACAGCATGGGGGGATCACTGGTCCCTGCCCTGCCTGGCTGTTCATCACGTGGGGAGCAGTGCCCCGTAGCCTGGCAAGCCGTGGGGCCCCACTGACACTGCTGCCCAGGCCTGGACACAGAGGTTGGCACCTCTCCTAGAATTTCCGTTCTTTCTTGCCAGGCAGAAGTCTTCGAGGTGTCTTCAAGTTGGGGTGCTGGAAGCGGTGGTTGGTGGGGGAGGAATGTAGCTGTGTGTGTGACCCCAGAACAGAGATCCCGAGATCTGAATGAGGACAGCATGGCCGGAGCCTGACCCGAGGGAACGTTCCAGAGCACGGAAGCCTTGTCCCTGAGCACACAGGAGCCTCTCCAAGGCCTCACCCGCTCACCCACCACCGCTGCAGAGGCAGGCCGCCGCGACCCAGGGACCTTGGACCCTGCATTTGTATCGTCTGTGTGGGCTTGACTGGGCAGTGTGGGCTGAGGAGTGCAGGTGTCCTCCTGTGAGCGGTCACAGCGCCCAGCGACAGGTACATATAACCTAAATGTCACTGTCACACCTGGTGCAGAGTTCCCCTTCTTGCCCCACGTAAGCAAACAAACCAAAGCAGATTTATTGATTTATTGGAAAGAATTACGGAGAGGGAGAGGTCTTCCACCTGCTGGTGCACTCCACGCATGACCACAGCGGCAGGAGCCAGGACATTGTTTTGGATCTCCCACGTGGCTGCGGGATCCCAAGGACTTGGGCCGTCTCTGCTGCTTTCCCAGCGCATTAGCAGGAAACTGGATGGGAAGTGGAGCAGCCGGGACTTGAACTGGTGGCCACGTGGAGTGCCGGCATTGCAGGCAGAGGATGAGCCTGTACACCACTGTGCCAGCCCATACTGTTAACTGTTTGAGGAGCCGCAGTTCTGTTTGGCTGGGGAGCTGCGCTGACGCTCCCTGGGGCTCTATTCTCTCTGTGTGTGCCCCCGCTTGCGGTAGTCCTGACCATGCCCACGCCTGCGGAAGTCCTGACCGTGGCCGCGCCTGTGGTCGTCCTGATCGTGGCCGTGCCTGTGGCCATCCTGACCGTGGCCGTGCCTGTGGTCGTCCCGACCGTGGCTACCGAGTGGTTGTCCCGACCGTGGCCGTGCCTGTGGTCGTCCTGACCGTGGCCACGCCTGTGGTCGTCCTGACCATGGCCGCGCCTGTGGTCGTCCTGACCGTGGCCGCCGAGTGGTTGTCCCGACCGTGGCCGTGCCTGTGGTCGTCCTGACCGTGGCCACGCCTGTGGTCGTCCTGACCGTGGCTGCCGAGTGGTGGTCCTGACTGTGACCGTGCCTGTGGTCATCCTGACCGTAATCGCGCCTGTGGTCGTCCTGACCGTGGCCGTGCCTGTGGTCGTCCTGACCGTGGCTGCCGAGTGGTGTCTGTCGGTAGCTGCGGTTTGCATCTCCGTGATGCGGAAGGATGGCACGTGATTGTTCCTGGGCTCAGGAGACGGGCTGCCCGAGTGCCTTGCTCATCTTGGGGCTGGCTGTTTCCTGCGGAGGTTTACGTGACCTCTCTGTTTACACAGTGACTGCGTCATCGGAGACGCAGTTTGCGAATGGTCGTGTCTCCTCCCGTGCCATGCGTCGCCCTTGTCCTCCATGAACGGTGTCTTCTGATGCATAAAGCCCTGGCATCATGCTGTCTGTGCCTATGTTTGGTTTTCTGCCCTGCTCCAGAAGTAGAGGACCCAGGACGCTGACAATGATGGCTCCTCCGTGGCTCTTCCTTCCCCGTGGAGGGGCTCTCGCAGGGGCAAGGCGGGGCCGTGGCCTGAGCAGGTGGTGGACCTGGCAGCTGAGCCCCGGCCCTGAATCCCTGCCCCTCCCTAGGGTCTGGTCGCCTGCATGCGTGTCCCCGCTGTGTGCCCTCACCATCTGCTCCATCCTCCACAGCCTCGCCGCTCCTGCTGTTTGCCAACCGCCGGGACGTGCGACTGGTGGATGCCGGCGGGGTCAAGCTGGAGTCCACCATCGTGGTGAGCGGCCTGGAGGACGCGGCGGCCGTGGACTTCCAGTTCTCCAAGGGCGCCGTGTACTGGACAGACGTGAGCGAGGAGGCCATTAAGCAGACCTACCTGAACCAGACGGGGGTGGCCGTGCAGAACGTGGTCATCTCCGGCCTGGTGGCGCCCGACGGCCTGGCCTGTGACTGGGTGGGCAAGAAGCTCTACTGGACCGACTCGGAGACCAATCGCATCGAGGTGGCCAACCTGAACGGCTCGTCGCGCCGGGTGCTGTTCTGGCAGGACCTGGACCAGCCGCGGGCCATTGCCCTGGACCCTGCTCACGGGTGAGCCCCTGGCTTCTCTCCTGCTGGTTCCTTGGGGGTCAGTGGGAGGGTGCTTCCCGTCGGTGGGGTGCCTTGGATGGGTGGCCTGGGGGGCGTGGGCTCTCACAGAGGTAGGGTTGACACCCCGCACGCCCTCCCCACAGCCCTGTTCTGTATAGCTCAGTGGGCTGACGAGATGCCACTTCCTGTCTGGAAGCAGAGCTTGCCGGGGGTGTGGGGAAGGGGTGTCTCTGCCCTGTTCTGTGACTGTCCCCCTTTGTCCCTCTCTGCTTCTCGGTCTGGCCAAAATCACCTCGGCCCTTGTTCCAGGTCACGAGGGTGTGAGTGGCTGTGAGGAGGTGGCCCGGCTTTGCTGGCCCCACTCATTCTAGAATTTTCTGAGCAGGTAGATCTGTCTTCCTCCGCTTGTCTCGGCCCTAAGGTGATATAGCACTCATGTCCTTCCATGGGTCGCCCTGACGCTGCCCTGTCCGCTCCGTGGGTTGCCCTGGCCCCACCCTGTCCTCTCCGTGGATTGCCCTGGCCCTGCCCCATCCCTTCTGTCCAGTCCTGCATTGCTGGTTTGGCCATGAAACGGCTGTCAGGCGTTGATTTTTTTCAAGATTCACTTGTTTGTTTGATGCTGCGGAGAGGGGGCTTCTGTGTGCTGGCCATGACGGCTGGGCTGGAACCAGCAAAGCCAGGAGGTGGGAGCTCCCTCCACGGCTCCTGTGTGAGAAGCAGGGACACAGCGCTGGGTCGCCTCCCAGCCGCATCAGCAGGGCGCCAGCTCAGGAGGCGAGCAGCCAGGACTCCAACCTGTGCTTTGATGTGTGGGATGCTGGGGTCCCCAGTGAGTCCTCGGCTCAGCTTGCCAGGCTCCCTCTGCCCCTCAGTCAGAAGCCGGGGTGACCCTGCACCAGACCCAGATGTGCTCTGCGACACTTGTATGCAGATATCAGAGAGGTGGCACGTGGTGCTACGCTGCCCCCTGCTCCACCAGGTCTGCCCCCATGCCCTCCCCTGTCTCTGGGCTGATGCCACTCCTGGCTCTGGCCCCTGGGCTTAGGCCCACTGCAACCAGAGCTGAGGCTGGGCTGGGCGGGGCTCGCTGCGGGCCTGCCTGGGGGATGCAGACAGGGGCCAGGAGGGGCAGGGGATGGCTCTGTGTCCCGGGTGGGCGAGGACTGACGCTGCTACTGTGAAGGGAAGCACGTGGTCGCTGTGAAGGTCACGAGAGACTGGATGTGGAGTGTGTGTGCGTGATAATGTGACTGAGTGGGAGAGCGTGTGTGTGGGAGGGATCCTGTGTGTGAATGCACATGTGGGGGTGTGCGTGTATGTTGTGTGTACAAAGGAACATGTGTGTGGATGGGTTGCATGTATGTCTGTGACTGTGTGCACGCGTGCGTGTGTGTGGGGGATTTGTGATCCAGCCTGGTACTCCCCACCTGTGCACTCCCCTTGCTGGCATGCTGGGCAGCTCCTGGCCCTTCCCCGAACCTGGCTGTCCAGATGCCAGCTTGGCCACTGTGACCGTACTGCCCGGTGGGTAGTCTTCTCAGTTGCCTGCCTGCTGCAGCCTGCAGGGCAGCCATGTGGGGCACCTGGCGTGGGGCCAGCGCTGGATCTGCTGGGCGGTACGCACTGTCCAATGCCCATTGCTGCTGAACCTGTCCCCCCATCCGCCACCCCAGCCCCCAGGCACGCGGCTCCTTGGCCTCGCACTGGGCATCGAGCAAGGACTTTGGATACTTGGTGGTGGGCCCTGCCTCACACTGTGAGGGCTGGGAGGTAGCTGACATGAGGTGGGGGACACTGGGTGGTCTGCTTGGCAGGTGCTGGTGCCCAGCGGGGAGCAGGCTTCCCCATGCTCAGCTCTGGCTGGCTCTGCCTGCGTGGTTGGCCTCTGGTTGTGCATATTCGGCGCTTACTTGCAGGATCCCGCTTGTCGCTGTGCCTGGGAAGGAGTGCGTGTGCCTTGGTGGGACTGTTGAAGCCACCTCTGCCGCACCTTCCCAGAGAGGTGTCTGGTGGGCGGTGCCGCTGGACCCTGTCGAATGCCAGGCGCAGGAGGGAGGCTCTGCACCTGCTGACACTCTGTAGCGGGCCTTGCATGTGTGGAGTGCCATGGCCAAACCGTGCTTGGTGCAGTGTCGGCGGCGTGGGTGCCTGGCACAGATATGTGGGTGACACAGAGGGCTGGGGGACAGAGCAGGACCTGCGGGAGGGCCCTCTGACCCTGAGTACCCGGGGTAGGGAGGACCCTGTCCCTGGCGTGGGAGGACGGCAGAGGCTCCTGGGGCTCTGAAGAGAGCCTGGTGGAGGCCCGCCCTGCCCTTCACGGCCAGTGGCTTCTGCTGGCCGAGCCCTTGCTGCAGCGCTCTCAGAAGCTGCTCTCCTCCGTGGAACTTGGCGGGGTTCCGTGCTGGCACTGGAGTCCGTTGCAGAGCTGCCCGCCTGCCTGCCCGGCTCACAGATTCCCCATTTAAGGAAACCAGCAGGCCTGGACTGGGAAAGCCGGGAGGAATGCCAGTTCTGCTCCCGCACGTTTTCGGGCCTGCAGTGCTGGGGCCCGGCTGTGGTGCCTCGGGCAGGGACCCACTCTATGGATGCCTTCTCGTGTGTTGGGGGCTCGGGCTGCCTGGGAAGTTCTCCCACGCCCTGCTGGCCCTGCCAGCCGAGGGCTGTCACAACCAGCCGGGCCCACGCAGGCACCCAGGCCGTGGCACGTGCAGCCCGGGACAGGCCAGCTTCAGTTTCCTGTTCTGTGTGGTGGGAGCCGCTGACTGGGCACATGGCCTGTGGTCCCCAGGTCTTTTGTCTTCCCAGAAGGCTGGCTGCCTGGCTTATGTTGGTGCAGATAAGACAGGGCAGTGTCTGAGTGTGTCTGACCTGTCTGGGGCCTGGCTAGCTCGCCCGCCACCCCACATTGTACGTGCCTTTCGGGGACGACATGGGGTTTTTAGCAGATTTGGGCTCACGGCAAGCTGGAGCAGCAGGTGCAGGATTCATGGCTGCTGCCTGTCCCCCACCTGTTCCTCTTCCTCCTCTCTCCCAGCTCTAGCACCCACGGGCCCTGCTCCCTGTTGGCCTTTCCCAGGATGTCATGGTATTGGCATTATGCAGCCCATGGGTGCCTCAGGCTGGAGCGTGGATGGCTCATGTCCTTCCCAGCAGGTGGCGAGGTACCCCTTAGGACTTTGCCCCAGCATTTTCTCTGTGTGTGTGCCTGTGTGATTTATGTGAAAGTCGAGTTACAGAGAGAGGAGAGACAGCAGGAGAGAGATCTTCCATCTACTGATTGACTCTTCAAATGGGGCATGGCTGGGCCAAAGCCAGGAGCTTCTTGTGGGTCTCCCATGTGGGTCCCTGCAGGGCCCAGGCACTTGGGCCGTCCTCCACTGCTTTCCCAGGTACATTAGCAGGGAGCTGGATCAGAAGTAGAACAGTTGGGACATGAACTGGGGACCACCGGGGCTGCCGGTGGCTTTGCCTGTTATGCCATAGCGCCAGTTCCTGTCGCATTTTCCTAGCAACAAGAAGTTCCTGGGCCACCACTAACAGGTGGGGGTTTGTGCCCACAATGCCACCTTCGAGTCTGGGGGCTGGTGGGTGCCTAGAACCACAAGCAGTAGTCCCCTCTGGTGGGGGAGAGACCAGGACCCACATGGGTATGTGTCTGTGCAGAGAGAAATCGGAACCCGCCAGTGGTGCCAGCCTTGTGTCTGCCACGTGTGCCCTCCCTGGCAGGTACATGTACTGGACGGACTGGGGGGAGACGCCACGGATCGAGCGGGCGGGCATGGACGGCAGCACACGCAAGGTCATCGTGGACTCGGACATTTACTGGCCCAACGGGCTGACCATCGACTTGGATGAGCAGAAGCTGTACTGGGCAGATGCCAAGCTCAGCTTCATCCACCGTGCCAACCTGGACGGCTCCCTCCGGTGAGTGTCCCACCCCAGGGGTGCCCCCACCCGGTGCCAGGTGCCGTTTCTTCACTCGGGTGCCTGAGCTCTCCTTGCCTAACACCCTGGGGACCCAAGCTGGCACCAGTGCCAGACTCCCACAGGTGGTGGGGGCCCGACTTCCAGGGGTGCACCTTAGCAGGAAGCTGAGAACCTGGAGTAGTGCCGGGCGACTCACGCTTGGCCTGGATTGCGGGCGTCTCCGATGGCGCCTCACGTGCTGGGCCTGGCATCTGCCCTGGGTGAAGATGTTCCTCTGTGTGGGGCGCGGCAAAGCCTTTGGTGTGGCCCTACCTCCACAGGGTATGCCCACCTCAGGGGGAGCCCCCAAGCCCTCAGAGCTGCGCGTGGGGGCTCGGGACCCCTCTCCACTCCACCCGGGCGGTGAGCATCCCGACAGACAGTGGCAGTTGGCATTTCCCGACACACCCAGTCTTGCCAGGGGACCCTGCCCAGAGGTGCTCAGGAAGTTGAATAAATGAAGGGATGAGCAAATGACCCAGGAGGGTTTTCCTGCGGTCAGCTTAGCATAAGAGCTCCTGACTTCTGTCTGCATGTTTCTTGCTGCTGACCCTGGGCCTGGTTCAGGGGTGCCCCCTAACAACCAGGGGCACAGCCCTCACCCCTGGCCCAGGTGGGGGTGGGCGTCTGGCCCGTGGTTGCCCATGGTGCCTGCAGGCTTGTGTCTGGGTGCTAATCTGTGTGTTCCCTGGGCCCGTGGGCCGACAGCCCTGGGGTGGGGTTGGCATCCCAGCTTAGCCGGGGTGTGGCTCCCACAGGTCCTGAGGTTGCAGGCTTCTGGAGGCTTCCCCAGGCTGGGAGGCAGGCCTGGGGAAGAAAGAAATAAAAAAAAAAAAAGAAAAAAGAAAAAAAAATATGTCCTCTGTGGTGGCCATGGTTCCTCAGGGGCCACGTGGGGGCTGGCCACAGAGAGGGTCCAGGGCTGCTGCAGGCGTGGGGGTGGGGTCTTCCCCAGGGCCAGTGATGGGAAGAAAAAGAGAGAGGCGGGCTGGCCGTGTCCCTGGTGCAGCAGAGCCATGGTCCCTCAGCACGTAGGAGGACTCGCTTTCCAGCGGTCATTCATGCTGTGTGGATTTCAGCTCCGTATTAGTCAACAAAAAGTGACCTTAGCCAAACAGGTGACTCGGGGGCAGGCCCCAGGGGGAGCGCCGTCTGCAGGGGACTGGCCAGGACCCAGGGGTGCTCCGTATGCGGGGGACCGGCCAGGACCCAGGGGGAGCTCCATCTGCGGGGGGCTGGCCGGAGAGCAGGACTTCCTCGGCACCCCCACTGCCACCCGTTCTCCCAGAGCCTGTCTCAGAAGGGTCCCCAAGCAGATAACGGCAGCATCCCATCACAGACGCACGGGAAGGAAGGCCTTTGGCCTGCCTGAGCGCCCGGTGTAGTTACTCTGCATGTGGAAGGGCACTAGGTGAGGGAGCAGGTGGCTTGGCCAGGTCAGCCTGGAGGAGCCCCCTGGGTTGCTGATGAGGCTTGTTGCTTTCACATAAGCGAGGTCGGAAGATGGCATGAACGGTGTCCCACCTGTGCTGGCCCCATGCGATGCGGTGGGGTCAGAGCCGTGGGCAGGGCCGTCCAGGTGGCCATGCCTCTCTCCTCCCCGCCAGCTCCCCTGACGCCTTCCCGGACCCCCTGCAGGCAGAAGGTGGTGGAGGGCAGCCTGACGCACCCCTTCGCGCTGACACTGTCTGGGGACACCCTCTACTGGACGGACTGGCAGACCCGCTCCATCCACGCGTGCAACAAGAGGACCGGGGAGAAGAGGAAGGAGATTCTTAGTGCCTTGTACTCGCCCATGGACATCCAGGTGCTCAGCCAGGAGCGGCAGCCTTCCCGTGAGTGCCCGTCGCCCCAGCCGCCCACGGGGGATCTGCAGCCGGGGGTGCCCATTGCCCCGCTGCCCACGGGGGGAGGAACCTGCAGCCGGGGGTGCCCGTCGCCCCAACCACCCACAGGGGATCTGCAGCCGGGGGTGCCCATTGCCCCGCTGCCCACGGGGGGGTACCTGCAGCCGGGGTGGCCGTCGCCCCAGCCACCCACAGGGAACCTGCAGCCAGGGGTGGGTCTGGGGTGGGGGCGGAGCAGCACAGCAGAACATGCAGCCCGGCTGGAATGGGTAGGAAGGTGGCCCTGGTTGGGACAGGGTGGGCGTGGGTGGAACAAGCTGGGAACAATGAGCAGGTGACAGGGAGCTAGCTTGTTTAGAAGCAAGTGACTGTGGGAGGGAGAGGGATTTGAGGGTCCCATTCTGGAATGTTCTCTGCTTCTGTGTTGGCCAGTGCACACCCGATGTGAGGAGGACAATGGTGGCTGCTCGCACCTGTGCCTGCTGTCCCCGAGGGAGCCATTCTATGCCTGTGCCTGCCCGACTGGGGTGCAGCTGCAGGACAATGGGCGCACGTGTAAGGCAGGTGAGGCTGGGGGGGGGAGTGGGGAGCTTCTGCAGCCCGGGGCCCATGGAGGTTGCTGGGGTGACCCATCAGGTCCACCTGCTCTGTGTGGGGCCTGGCTGTGATGGTCGACCAGCGGTCCCAGGTCCCTCACCCGTAGAACGTGTCCTGCTGTCCGGGGTGCTGCCCACGCGTGGCGCTGCCCACGCATGGCGCAATGCAGTCAGTAGCCAAGGGAGGAGACTCAGAAAGCTCATGGACATGACGATGAGAGATCCGTTTATTTTGGTGCAAGAAAGAAAAAGAGAAAAGGAGAATCCAGGCCCGCTGTTGGAAATGTCATGGCAGTGGAGGCCACTGCTGCGGAGTCTGGCTTCAGCGTCCTCGGCCATGGCATGCACACGCGTGGTCCATGTCTGCTCTCGCCTCACCGATGGGGCCGTGTTAGAGGATCTGCCCTAAGGGAAGGAGGATGGCTACTGCGCTTAGGTACCCAAAGTCACAAAGTCACTGCCCGCCAGGATTTCAACTCGGGATCGAGTGTCCCCTGCTCCAGTTTTTACAGACGGCCAGCCCCACGTGCCAGGAGCCGGTGCAGCGTGTGCAGGTGGAGGGAGGGCAGGCAGAGAGGCCTCTGGACCAGGGTTGGGGTGGGGGTGGGGGGCGGCGGGGCACCTGCAGGCTGGCAGAAGGAGTGCGCTGGGGGTGTGGTCAGGGCAGCTTTGGGAGCCTGGTGCAGAATGCTCTCAGTTGGTGCCCCTACCCCATGTGCCTTGTGATCCCAGGGAGGGACTGAGCCTAGTGGGGATGCTTGCCGGAGGGTGGGGGATGGGGTAGGGGTGTGTGGGGCACAGACAGGAGTTGTGCTTGAATTTGAACTTGAGCTTGGAGCCAGGCAGCCCTCTGATGTGATGCCAAGAACGCCATCACCGCTCCCCCGAAGGCCACCAGGGCCGGCGCTATCCAGAGGAGCTGGTGGGGAGGAGGGGCACGTGGTGTGGCCTGCAGGCCCTGGGCATGGGGACAGAAGGCAATGCTGGCCTGCCAGGGCCCTGTCACAGTCCCCAGGATTTTGAGGATGCCTGCAGGTCCCTTGGCCTACCCTGGACTCCTCAAAGGAAAGATGGCAGAAGGGGCACAGTGCTGTCCACTGCTCTGTGTGTGTGTGTTGGGGGGCGCTGACCACTGGCTCGGAACCTTCGTGTCTGTCACCCCAGCCCATCCTGAAATGGTCACTTGGAGGCCAGCAAGTGGCTGCTCCTGTTCCGCTCTGCCAGGGTTCAGGGGCACCGCAGGTGGCCTGGCGTGGGTCTGTGTGGGCGGAGCTTGCCCTCGGGAAGGGCTGGCAGGCCGGGCCTCCCCATCCCTCTGGGGACCGAGCCTGGCAGCTGGCTTCGGATCCCCCCATGCTTTTCCAATTATGTGGATTGGGCTAAAAACAGCGACGGCGCGGGTGGGAGGTGTGGAGGGGGATTCTGCTGGGAGCTGCCCGCACCCACCTGGCTGGGCCACTGACTTCTGTCACTTCACAGCCGTCCGAGGGGAGTGCAGGGACAGGCTGGGACAGCGCTGGATCTCGCAGGCCCTGGGCTGCAGCTGGAGTGGCTGGGAGAGCGCAGATGGGGGACGGATGCACGTCCCCCCTGCACACTTTGAACAGATGCGCCTCTGTCGAGGGACAGGGCTAGGGCAGCAGGAGGCAGGGCAGGCTCTGCTGGTGGGCCTGACGAGCAGGCGACAGCTGGGCCCCTCATGTCTGTCCGTCCGTCTGGGTGGATTAGCCCTGGGGGCTGGGAAGAACAGGGACGTTTGTTCCTACAGTCTGACTCTAGTCACTTGTTTCTGAGAAGTAGGTCAAAGGGAGCGCGGGGGAGAGGGGTGGGAGGGAAGCAGCTGCGAGCGACGCTGCCAGCAGCGGGCAGCTGCCGTCCGCCGCCGCCCGCCGCCGCCAGGGACCACGGGAGCCTGAAGGCGGGCACGTCAGGGAAATGCCAGCAAGCCCGAGGCTGGCTCCCTCCGTGTGTCTCTGAGCCGAGGTCTGACCTGCACGCAGGAAAAGGCGTGTCGTGTGTTCTGATGTGCTCGGGCATTTAGATGCACCCTACTTCACCCCAACCCCAGAGACTTCTCTGCTGTCCATCTCTCTTCCTAGTTGCCTCTGGCTCTGCAGTGGATTGCCCACGTGTGTTTTAGAGCTGCATAGACGTGGGACTGCACTGCCTGGACCCTGCCAATGTTTTGGCCTGGATGACAGCGTGGGAAGCCAGGGAAAAAAGAGAGGGCAGCGCGTCTCAGACAGACAGGACTGTTGCCCGGGGCTGGGGACACCGACCCGGCTGGGCCTCCTGAGCCAGGGGGCTGAGCCGAGTCCAGCTGCAGGCATTCCTGTGTGTTTGTTGTCGGACTCCTGCAGCCCAGCCTGGCCCCAGGTCATTCCTTTGGTTCCTTGTAGTCTTCGGGGTCAAGTTCTGGGTTCACAGAATCTGTCCACACCTCCCGGGACTGCCCATAACAGGTGTCCACCCTGGGAGGGAGGGCCTCAGGTTTGCTGCCCAGGAGCTGGAAGCAGTGGTCAGAATATTCTGTCCCCGAGCCCCAGGTGTCCCCTGGGGCGCCGTCCACACTGCAGGCCACAGCCTGTCTCCAAGGAGAGATGCAGGGCTCCAGCCTCCTTCTCGGCTGCTTCCTGTTCCAGTCACGCCAGGAGCCTCCTCTGGGTCTCCCACGTGGGTGCAGGCTCCCACGACACTGGGCCATCCTCCACTGCTTTCCCAGCCACAAGCAGGGAGCGAGGTGGCTTGGAATAGCCGGGGCATGAACCGGCGCCCGTGTGGGATGCCGGTGGAAATGTGGGATTGGACCCTGCGGTTCCTGCTGGGCGCGACTTCCTAGGTCTCTCCTGAGCTCCTCCCCCGGCCCCTCTGTGAGAGCGGCAGGTGCCTGCTCTGTCCCCACCTCCACTGCAGACCTGGAGGGTTTATGGCTCCCTTGTTGCCGCTTCCTCCACACCGCCCCCAAGATTGATGGACTTGAAAGTCAGGGTGACAGATCTGCCGCCATCCACTGTTTATACTCCCCTGCTGACTGCAACAGACAGTGCTAAGCCAGGAGCCTAACCGGGTGTGGAGGGCCAAGCACTTGGGCCATCTTCCACTGGCTTCCCCACTGTGTCATCAAGGAGCTGGATGGGAAGTGGAGCAGCCGGGACTTGAACAAGTGCCCACAAGGGATGCCGTCACTGTAGGTGGAGGAGTAGCGTGCTGTGCCACCGTTCTTCCTTAACTTCCCTGCTACTGTGGGTGACATGACAGCTGCCTCCTTGGCCCTTGGTGGGGCGGGCCGTGGCTCCCCAGAGGGGCTTCTCTGGACCGCCTCTTCCCAGAGCCGTGCTCTGTGCGAGCGTCTCCCTTCCGGGTTCCTCTCTGCCGTGTGGCTGTGTGGTGCTCAGACCCTGCACCCATGTCAGGGAGGGTGAAGGAGCTCCTGGCTCCCGCCCCGCCCTCTTCTAGCTGTCATGGGCAAGAGCAGCGGAAGGAAGATCTTTCTCTCTGTCTCTGGTGTTTTTTTTTAAACCAATGCGGAGTGCGTTTCGCAGCCCAGGCACCCAGTAGGTGTCAGACAATTACACTGCTTATTTGCCAGCATGCTTCCTGCAGCTCCCAAAGCTGACCAGGCACGAATGGATGCCCGGCCTTGTTCCCTGTACCCTCCCACTGAAGCTGCACGAGGTGCCCCTTGGGGTTCTCCCAGCCCAGCGGAGGGGCGACCTTATCTGCCTGTACCCCGACTTGGGAAGTAGAGGCCAAGAGGTTGGATCAGGGGCACTTGGTGAGGAAGCGGTGCTGGTGGGGACAGTGACACAGGATCACGGGGTGGGTCCGCCCCTGCCTGCCCTCTCTCTGGTCACCTCCAGTCCCTGGGCAGAGAACTGATGTTCCACATTAGAGCTGAGCAGACACAGCCCGACTCGAGGGTGTGAGGGTGGAGGGGAGCTTCTGGGGCCCATGCTGGGAGGCCCCACGGCAGACAGCTGCCCACACCTCAGGTTGCAGGCACTGGTCCCGGCCACTTCCTCCAGGCCCCGTGACTGCATGGTCAGTCCAGGCGGCCGGCTGGGCCAACATGCCGGGCTGCGGGCTCAGCATTTGTCCCAACACTTTCTCCGGTTGAGGAGAAGCAGCAGGGCAATTGGTCACAAACAAAAGTCATCTGGCCGCCCGCCTGCTGGGAGGCCGCCCTGGCCAGGCTGTTCACGGCCTGCATGATGACCCGGCCCTGCCCACGCAGCTCGAGACGGCCAGTGACCCCTCTGCCTCCCGTGGAGGGTGGCTGGGAAGGAGCCCCCACCCCTGGGAGCAGGGAGAGGCGGCCTCTTGAAGGAAGCCAGAGGCCCAGGTGCCCTGCAGCAGGAGCAGTGCAGAGGGGCCGAGAGCCTGCTGGGGGCTGCTGCATGCCAGCTACACGCCAGCCACACTTAGCTCAGGCTGTCAGGGTGATGATGCCCAGCCTGTGCCCTGGGGGCCAAGGACCCCCTCCCCCTGGCCATGCGTGCTTGGTCCAGCCACACGCTGTGGTTTTGTTGTGAAGGTGCCATAGTGGGGTAGCACAGTGATTCCTGTGACATGGGTGCCCCCAGGAGGGTCTTCCTACCAGGGTTGGCCTGGTTAGGGCAAGCGGCTTCTTTGGCCTAGCCCTTCTTTCTCCTGTTTTATTTATTTATTTATTTTTTTAAAGATTATTTATCTGGAGTCCAGCATCATGGATTTCGCTGCTGTGGACCCTGCACTCATGTGGGGGACCCAGATGGGTCCCTGGGCTCATGCTGGTTACGCTAGGCTGCTTTCAGGAGGCTGTGTCCACTACAGGGACAGGCGCAGCGGGAACCCCAGCTCCCCTCCCCGGGGCCCTGCTCCTGCCCAGCCCGTCACCTGGCCTGTCTCCTCCTTCCAGCCACTGTAGATGGACAGATGGTGGACCCGCTGGACCCATTGCTGTGGCAGGGTCAGTCGCTCTGTGTGTGTGTGTATGTGTGTGGACTGAGTTGGAAGTGGTGTCGTAGCAGGTGTCATTAGGTAAAGAGATGGCCATGTGGGGATTGGATAGCTCCCAGTTCACACAGCAGAACCACAGCAGGGATTCTGGCCGGGGCCAGAGGCAGAGGCCGCAGTGGGGCAGCCGCAAGCCAAAGAACTCCAAGTATTTCCGGCAGCCTCGGAAGCTGGAAGGGGTGCGGCCGCTCCATCCTGGCCCTCGCGGGGCCTGGGGATTTGTGTGTCTCCATTCCTTCGTCCGTTGCCGCTGCTGGTGGGGGGGGGGGGGGGCGCGGCACCTTGGGCTGTGGCTGGCGGCAGGGAGGGAGGTGGGAGCTGGCCCTGTGCCTGGGCCCTGTCCTGGAGCAGCACACCCCTGTCAGGAATGCCTGGCCCGCATCTGGCATCCTGCATTCACAAGGATTGTGCATGCTTCCTCGCGCATGGGTGCGTGCGTACAGGTGCATGAGCCGCACGGGTGCGCAGGTGCGCAGGCAGGAAGGTGGGGCGGGGCTCAGGTGGCCGTAAGGACCAGATCCCTGGCTGGCTCCGGTAAGGTGTGTTTGGCAGCGCCATGAGGCTGGCGGTTTGTGGTCACTGTTGCTTTGTAAATAGTTTGTTCCCTGATGTGTAAATTGGGTGCAGGCTCTGTGTCTGGGCCCACGGAAGGTGTGGATCCCTCCTTGGTGGTCAGTGAGGCGCCCCAGGACTGTGGCCGGGGGTGCCGCTTGGCCCGTGAGGCCTCTTCTTGGTCCACCTGTGGGCAGAGGCCCCGGTCCTTGGCTGGACCCTGGTGTCGGGGAGCCTGCCTGCTGTGCTGGCACGGCTGCTCAGACCCTCAGAGAAGCCCGCGGTGCCTCTGTGTCTCCCAGGCTGCCCTGGTCGCCGTGTTCAGGGGCAAAACTCGTGAGTCCCTGGCAGGTCTGCAGGACTCTCTTCTCGGGGTGGGGTTCGGCCTGGGGGCTGTGTGTTGACGCGTGCCCGTGCAGGCTGGCATGCTCAGCCCCTTGTGGCCCACGTTTGCGACTCTTACGGGCTGTGCCCTGTGTGGTATCCATGTAGCTCTCAGAGCTGCTCAGGCAGCAGGTTCCCCCAGCATCAGCCCGCCTTGGGTGTGCGTCTCCTGCCCCCTCTCTGCCTTCCTGTGGCTGTGAGGACGTGGTGGGGACAGAGCCCTGATCTGTGTGGCCCACACGACCCTGGACGGGGGTCCAGCCTCAAGGCACCACCCACAGACGCATCGATACGATGATGGAACCTTCCGGGCGGCAAGACCAAGCGAGAGCAAGTGCTACAAGTGCCGGCCGCGCGACCAGCATGACCCCTGCCTGCTTGTGTGCTTGGTCTGGGGCTCAGCCTCTCAGTGTCAAATGAGAGCTGGGGGTGGTGTGAAGACCACCCTGGGGGCACGCACCACCTGTACGCACGCACGCTGTTGAGAGGAGCCTGAGCCCAGGAGTGGGTTGACCTCCCGGGCCCCGCGGGCTGCTTCCTGCAGGGACTGCCATTCTCCATGGTAGGTGGTAATATTGTCTGCCTGCCTCAGTTTCCCAGCCCAGAGCTCAGCACTTATTGCTAGCCTGTGTGCGCCCTCTAGTGAGGGAATCTGATCATGAGCCCTGAGCTTGGGGCGGAGTCAGGATGGATGGCAGGTCCCTGGGCTGCTTGTGACAGCCAAAGCTGGCTGGACCTGGGCTGGGAGCGGGGTCTGACCTGGGCTGCTTTGTGACCCCAGGCAGGCGGCCCCCAGGGGCTGAATGTACTCTCTGGTTCTGAATGGGTCCTTCTGAGCTGACAGCACCCCAGCTCTGTGTCAGACCTGGGGGAGCCCCTTCCTCCGTGCCACTTTTGCCGGAAGTGTTGACCCATCCTGACAGGGCGGTGGGCTGGGTAGAACCTGAATGGTAATGGCTGAGGGCAAGCATGAGGCTTTCAGGGGTCTGAGCCCCCAACAGCCAGAGTAGGTTGGGGTGTGGGTCCTGAGGGAGCCCCAGGGCTGGAGGCACCTGGCTGTACGTGTGGGTTTGGCCCCTGGTACCGCTGTGTGCTCGCTTTGAGTCACAGGAGTTTGGGGCAGGGGATGCTGTGCAGGCTGCTGTGCAGGTATGCCTGGAGAGCTGGCAGATCCCGCCCTCCACTGGAGGAACCCACGAGGTACATACTTGCTCGCGCCCTGCCACAGTGTGCCATGCTGGGTCCGTTCTGTGTGGTTCTGGAGCCCCATGCTGGGTCCGTTCATCCGACGCCTTTGAGAACCTGGGTGTGATTTCCCAAGGGGCTGGTATGGTGTCTTGCTAACCCTTTCTCAGGGGCAGTTCTTGGAAGCCACCTGGGTGAGGGGGCATCAGGGACCCCACCCTTGGAGGCAGGGCCCTCGGGTCATTGTCCTGGTGACCTGGGGATTGCTCAGAGTACCCCCTGCAGCCTCCGCTCTGTCTTGGGGCCTTGGAGCTGGCACTGTATTGGGCACCTACATCGGTGTGCGAGACAGAGGTGAGCTCAGCTGGCAGGTGTCTGGCCCCACCCAGGAGTTGGGTGGTGAAAAGCAGACCTGTGTCTATCCCCACTCTGCAGTCATGGGTGGGGAGGGGTCGGGGAGGACTTTGGGTGGAAGTGACCTTGAGCCACCCAGGAAGAGTGGGGGTCTCAGGGGGGCTGCCTGTAGCTCGCTGTGCTCCTCTCAGGAGGGTGACCTGGCAGCTGTAGTGGGGCCTCACCCCGCCTGGCCCAGCTCTGCCACCCACCCCGCTGTGCGCTGACCCCCCTACCGCTGCCCCCCAGGGGCGGAGGAGGTGCTGCTGCTGGCGCGGCGCACAGACCTGCGGAGGATCTCGCTGGACACGCCGGACTTCACGGACATCGTGCTGCAGGTGGATGACATCCGGCATGCCATTGCCATCGACTACGACCCGCTGGAGGGCTACGTGTACTGGACCGACGACGAGGTGCACGCCATCCGCCGGGCCTACCTGGACGGCTCAGGGGCCCAGACACTGGTCAACACTGAGATCAACGACCCCGATGGCATCGCCGTCGACTGGGTGGCCCGGAACCTCTACTGGACCGACACGGGCACCGACCGCATCGAGGTCACGCGCCTCAACGGTACCTCTCGCAAGGTCCTGGTGTCTGAGGACTTGGACGAGCCCCGCGCCATTGTGCTGCACCCCGTGATGGGGTAAGGCGGGGCTGGGCTCCATGCGGGTGTGGCGGGATGAGGGTGAGGAGGCACCCCCCGTAGGTACACACCCGGCCCCAGGGCCTTCTTGGGCATCCGCTGGAGCAGGGCGTGGGGGAAACCGGACTACAGAGTTCTTCTCCAGCCCTGGAGGGGGGCCTAAGGCTCGGTGGATGCTGTGAACTGGCCCAGGTGCCAGTGGGCAAGGGTGGACTGGATCTGCAGTCCCTGCATGCTGGGTCTGTGCCTTGCCACACTCAGGGTTAGTGGCCGTGGCCTTCACCTTCAAGGGGGTGTGGAAGCCCAGGAGGCCTGGAGTGGAGGACAGAAGGCTGCTGCAGGGCAGGCTTGACCCCTGCCCAGGAGGGTCAGCAGGGCTGAGAAGTGGAGTGCCCCACCCCCAGGGTTTGATGGTGAGAAGGCAGAGGGACTGCCAGTGAACTTGGTCAGAGCGCCGCGGTCCATGTGTGTGAATGGGGGAGGAGCCAGGAAGCTGCCTCCAGGCCCCTCGCTGCGCCACTTAGCCCTGTCCCCTGTGCCTCTAGGGGTGCCAGGTCAGGTGCATGAGTTCATGGGGTCAGGGATGGGCGCTTGGGCAGGAAGGAGGATGGGGGAGGGGCAGGCAGGGGCAGTAGAAGCGGAGCCTGTGCTGGCCCTACACAGCCCATTCTTTGTCACCGAGACCTTGGCACCGTCTGCTCCCCATACTCAGAAGGCTCTGTCCATTCTGCGTCCTTCCCAGCATACCCCAAGTGGGGGCAGGAGAGGAGCCTGGGGCCTGGCAACCACCATTCCTTGATGCCCCAAATGTGCCACTCACCTGGCCACACCTGTGATATCTACCTCACACTCCTGGGTGGTGGGATTGGACAAAGATGGCCACTGCCATGGACCTCTGCTTCCTCTGCAGCCTCATGTACTGGACAGACTGGGGGGAGAACCCCAAAATCGAGTGTGCCAACCTGGACGGGCAGGAGCGGCATGTACTGGTCAACACCTCCCTTGGCTGGCCCAATGGCCTGGCCTTGGACCCACAGGAGGGCAAGCTGTACTGGGGTGATGCCAAGACGGACAGGATCGAGGTGAGTGGCGCCATGGAGGCTGTTGGGGAACAGGAGGGTGGCGTTCCCATGCTGAAGCCAGGCCTGGTGGACACCTGTGGGCGCCTGCGCCCTGCTCTGCAGCCAGGAGAGGTTCCCAAAGGAATAACAGGTGACAGAGGGCCCCCACATGGTACATTTGGGTCGTCGAGTCTTCAGCCTTGCCCCATGGGTGTTCCTGTCCCCTCTGCCAATGAGTGAAGTCAACAAATGGTGCTGGAGTGTCCACTGTATGGCTTAAGACACAGCCGGACACAGCCGGACACAGCCGGAGGTGCCGCCTGGCCTCGTGGCGCACAGCGATGCAGCTGGAGGTGCCGCCCGGCCTTGTGGCGCACAGCGATGCATTGTTGCAGATGGTGGCTTTCCTCACCACCCACAGTGCCAGCCAGGGACGCAGGTCTCTCAGCTGCCTGCCGAACACCTGTCTTAGCTCTTCAGCGCGTGCACCGAGGAGTGGGTTGCTGGGTCACACTGGGCTTTGGTGTCAGTCTTTCTGGGAAGTCAGGAAGCTGTTGACACTCCCATAGGGGAGTTGGCAAGGGGCAGGGGTCAGGATCTCCCGTGGCTCCAGCCCAGGCAGATGGCCTCTGGCCAGCTGATCACCAGCCTTCCTCCTTCCAGCCTGTTCCTGCAAACCTCTGTGGCCTCCTGCCACCATGCCCGTGCCCTCATCTTGTCCTGCGGTTCTCTGAGCGACAGAAGTGAGGAAGCTGAGGGGAGGGGGAGGTGGTGAGCCCACTGGACCCGCGGGACGGGAGGCTGAGGAGGGAGCATGTGTAGTTTCAGGGGAAGCCCGACAGTTGCCTGGGCCATGGGAGAATCAGGATATGAAGGAAGCCAGTCAGGGCTGGGGCCGGCAAGCAGCTCCCTGGCAGCTGGTCAACAAGCTGCCACCCCCCACCCCGGAGGAGTCCTGCTCGCCTTGTCTGGGGCAGCTGTCCTGGAAAGTAGGCGCCAGGCCAGCCCCCTGCAGCTGCACACGGGGTGGCAGCCCCCTCCTAACCCTCCATGGCAGCTGGCCGCCATCCTCTGTGACAGCAGGCAGAGGGGAGGGGACGGGGTGGCTCCTTTGCTGCCTTGTTCTAGGAGACCACCCTGGGGTGGGGGACGCTCCTGTAGTTCAGTGCTGACAGCCGCGGGTGACGCCTGCCCGCTATGTGTGGCCAGCGTACATGTGGCCAGCGTCTCGCTTGTCCCCAGCTGCCCCTGCTCAGCCTTTCTGACCTGGGAACCTCCGTGTGCCACTGGCCTTGTTCCTGGGTCACAGTGATGTAAGGCCCGTGCGTGGGTCAGAAGCCCCATGTCTGCAGGTGCCTAGGCTGGGCTCAGCTCATCCTGTGCTCCTCGCAGCCTGCCTCCCTGCTCCTTGCCAGGCCCTGAGCTCGCTCTGACCTGCTGCAGTCGCCCAACTGTGCCTCTCCCCACCCACAGATGCTCTGTTAGCAAAAGCACCTGGGGTCCCCCATCTCTCTGAGGGGTCCTTACTGAGGGTCAGGCCAGCCCTGTCCTCCTCCTGACCATGTGGATGCCAGGCTTGCGCAGCCCTTCCACAGGCAGTTCCCTTCTCCCTGAGCTCCTCTGAGCCCTGGGCCCACATGCCCGGCTGGCCCTGAGCCTAGCCCCTGGAAGCCGGGGGTCCGCTTTTGCCCTAGGCTGTGGCCCTGTGTGGAGTGGAGCGGGCACGCCTGCCCAGGGAAAGACCAAGTTACTTGCCAGGACCAGAAGCTTCCGCTGCTGCCCAGGGTTCGTACTGTGGCCTGGCGGCAGAGTGGTCATTCTGCGTGCCCACGAGCAGACATGTGGGCAAGCTGGCATCTGGCCAGACCATTCCGTTGTTTCTGGATGGGCCCTCCTTGGGTCTGGTTTCCTGTTGCAAGAATTGAGGGCGCAGGCAGGGACCAGCACTGAGCTCGGTGGCCGCACTGTATCCTAGGGCCCCTCGCGAGCACCGAGTGCCCTTGCTGATGAGTGGTGCAATGGGTTGGGCCCCTGTGTGTGGTGCCCCCATGTCAGAGCACCCCTCCAAGTGCTGCCAGCTCTGCTTCTGACCCAGTGCCCTGCTCACGTGCCTAGGAAGGCAGCGGCTGATGGTGCCAGTGTGTGAGCCGCGCCAGCCATGGGATGGAGAGCTGGCTGGAGAGCCAGGTTTCTGCTTTCCGCCTGACTTGCACCGGTCTTTGCCAAAGCCAGCTGGGGAGCGAACCAGCAGATGGAAGAGCTTTCCGTCTGTCGCTCACACTCACTGCATTCTGCCTTTGAAGAAACGAGTCAATCTAATTTTAAAAAATCAAAGGATGGTTTTTCACAGTCTGTGACTATTATATGAATTCAGGGTTTACAAATAAAGTGTGAACTCAGCGGCGTTTTCTTGCCCGCGTCTCCCCCGTCTACGACACGCTGTCCTTGACATGTTGTCCACACCTGCTTCTGTGAGCCTGGGGCTGCTGTGGCCTTCAAGTGGAACATACTTCCTCCCTTGGGCTCAGTTACAGAGAGACTAAAGGAATTTTTTCCATCCGCTGGTTCACTTCCCGAATGGCCCCAGTGGTCTGGATGTAGCCAGGAGCCAGGGGCTTCTCTCTGCTGGGTAGCTGAGGGGTCATTGGGTCATCTTTCAGTGTTTTCCCCAACTGCATGAGCAGGGAGCAGGATCAGAGGGGGAACAGCTGGGCCTCCAACCAGTGCCCATAGGGGATGTCAGTATCTCAGGAAGGTGCCACGGCACCGTGGTTATTCTTTTTAGTGCTCCTGGTTGGTGGCTGGGGACTGTCCCCCACCCTGGCTACCCCATGCAGGAGGGGCTGGAGACCCAGGCAGATCCCTCCTGGTGACAGGAGGACCGTAGCTTCTGAGGTGTTTCCAACACAGCCGTGTTGGCGTCACTGCCGGGTGCCCTTCTGTCATGGGAGCAGGATGCCGGTGGGAACCCCAGCCCACATGGCTGAGTCAGTTCCCTCGTGCTCACCAGAGCCGCTAGGAGAGGCCCGCAGAGCTGGGCAGGAAACAGGTACGTCCCAAGCCTGAGGTCCAGGTGAGGCCGTGGCTGTGTCCGGCTGGCTTGTCTCCCACTGTGGTGACACTTGTCTGTGGCTGGGTGTGCTGTGTGACTCGGCAGTCCCAGGCTGCTCCGGTGACCTCTATTCCAGGTGGGGAAGGGGGCCTCGTGCAGGTGCTATGCCCCTTGGCCGCGGGTCCCAGAGTGGCCCATCCAGCAGAGCGAATGGGGGTGCTTTCAGCTCCGTGCGTCTCGCCTGGCTTGTGTTTGGCCACCAGCAAACCGTGGGCCCTGTAGTCTTTCCCATGAGCTTGAGACGCGTGCCTTCTGGGGCGTGCCTCAGCCGCCCTCCTGCCTTCGACCACCAATCCCGTCCTGCTGCCCGAGACCCCGGGTGTTTGTGCCTTCCCCGCCTCCCCCCGTGGCCGGGCCTGCTGCGTGTTCTCTTCTGCATTTGGGGGTGGTTGCATCTCATTCCGTCACGGGCTCTTGCGAGTACGGATGGAGCCGCTGTATCTCGGCGTCCCTCAGCGTCCAGTGCCCCCACTGAGCGAGAAAGCAGCATAGACCTGGGGCAGACTTGGTCCTGCAGCCCCCCAGTGTTTGGAGACCATGTGGTGGGTGTCAGCTGGGATTGTACCCTGATGCACCTGTGCAGGCATGCCTAATCGATCCCAGACTGCTTGCTGAATTCCTCCTTCTGAGTTCCTCCCTTTGGGGCTCCAGTCCACAAGGATAAACAAAACACACGTCGCACCTCATGACGTGCTGCCCGTGCTAGTGTAGTGTCCACCCCCAGATAACGGGTGCTGTGGGCTAGGGTCCCTGAGCTGCCCTCAGCCGAGACTGCAGCAGTCACGGTGCCCGTGTGTGTCCAGCTGGAGAACAACAGCCGGCAGGGGCAGGTGGAGCGGAGGCTGTCCCAGGCCGCCCTCCAGGCCCTGTCTCTGCTGCTCAGGTGATCGGCGTGGACGGGACCAAGAGGCGGACCCTCCTGGAGGACAAGCTCCCGCACATTTTCGGGTTCACGTTGCTGGGCGACTTCATCTACTGGACGGACTGGCAGAGGCGCAGCATCGAGAGGGTGCACAAAGTCAAGGCCAGCCGTGACGTCATCATCGACCAGCTGCCTGATCTGATGGGGCTCAAGGCCGTCAACGTGGCCAAGGTCGTCGGTGAGTTGGGGTCCCTCCCCGTGGTGTGGCAAGAGGTCCTCAGCAGTCCGCCCCAGAGCTGTCGGCCCTCGCCATAGTAACTGTGGTGCCGGTGGGTGCCAGGGCCTGCCAGTGGCATCCCTGTGTGCCAGTCCTTCTTACTGCCCTCATTGCCCCTGGGGGAAGGGGACAGAGTGGGTGGGATAGTGGGTGACTGAGCCCATGGCTCCCCTGAGTCCACCTTGCTGGCCCTCCTGGGCTGAGATCACTGGCCAGCATGCTCAGGCCTGGCCTGCCCCGTGAGACATGGACAGAACTGATGTCTGTCTGCACGAGGCTCACCTGGCGCTCTGGGCTTGGCACCACAGCTTCTCTCTTTCTGGGAAGGATTCTACAAGTTAGACTGGACGGTGTGGTTGTGCAGACGGGCTGGGTCATGGATTCCTTGGCCGCGGAGAGAGCCCAGCCTCACTGTAGCCTTGCGTCCCGTCCCGTGGGCAAGCTGTCCTGACCCAGCCCACCGTGGGCTGGCGGCTGCAGCTGGGGTGTCAGAGGGGGGCTGCAGGTGTGTGAGAGGAGAGTGAGGGAAGGGTGACCGGGCAGGGCCTGGCCAGAGGCAGTGACAGTGGCTGTGGCAGCAGCTGTGTTGTGTCACTTCCTCCAGGTGACAGCCCTGATGGCTGCCTGCCAAGTGTGCCCCGTCCACGGTGGACACGGATGACACACAATGACAGCTGGGAGGGAACTGGAGCGGAGGAAGACCTTGGGACTGTGGTTTGCAGCCAAGGCATCGGGCATCTCTCACTCATTCTTGTGGCCTGGGAAAGCGTTCTTTTTTGAGTTGAAATCCTCAACAGGAAACCGAAGCAGATTTTGCTAATGCTTGGGCACCAGGGTGGGGCACCAGGCTGGGCCCGGTCTGCTCCCAACTGACGGGCATGTGGCAGTGAGTGGCAGGAGGGCTTCTGGAAGGACCTCGAGGGCCAGTGTCCCTGGGGAGGAGCTTGGTCCAGGAGGCGGACCCAGGGTCCTCCCTCAGCTGCTCCCCCACCGTCAGCAGCCTCTCTGGGTTTTAGTTTCCTCAACTGATGGAGTGAGTGAGGCAGCCAGCAACCCCGGGCGCCTGCACCTGCTTACTGCTGTCTCGTCGCTGCGTGGCCAGGAGCCAGGATGGCAAGGCGGGGCATTTACTGTCTCCACCTGTACCTGCTGTCACTCTGGCCGTGGGGAGGGGAGCTCATGCTTGCGTGCTGGCGTTCGCTTGCAGGCACCAACCCGTGCGCGGACAGGAATGGCGGCTGCAGCCACCTGTGCTTCTTCACGCCTCGTGCTACCAAGTGCGGCTGCCCCATCGGCCTGGAGCTGCTGAGCGACCTGCAGACCTGTGTCGTGCCCGAGGCCTTCCTGCTGTTCACCAGCCGAGCTGCCATCCACAGGATCTCCCTGGAGACTCACACCAACGACGTGGCCATCCCACTCACGGGGGTCAAGGAGGCCTCGGCGCTGGACTTCGACGTGTGCAGCCACCACATCTACTGGACGGATGTCAGCCTGAAGGTAGTGTGTGCGCACGGGCCCTGCGGCTGCCGGGCTTGGCCACGCTCTGTCCTGCCTTGATGAATGACCAGAGGACGCGGCTCCCTGCTGCCCATGCGGGTGACCGGGGCGGAGGTCCAGAACCCTGGCCCAGCCTTCCTGGCTATTTGGGAAGTGAATACAAATTCCGTCTTCCAGATTCTCTCTCACTTTGTTTTTCAAATAAATCAATCAATTTTTTTTTTAAAAAAAAATGAAGATTCCGAAGCTGGCGTTGTGGCACTCGTGTCCCACACGGGCCGCCAGCTCAAGTCTCGGCAGGCCACTTCTGCTCTAGCTCCTCGCATGTATCCTGGGAAGGGGGCAGAGGATGGCCCAAGTCCTTTGGCTCCCACACTTCCATGGGAGATCCAGAGTTTGAGAAAGTGCAGGTGCTCGGCACGGGCCATGCTGGTGAGGCGTGGGCCAAGCGCCTGCTGGTGGTTGACTGCAGCAGGGCGACACCTGTGTGTGAGTGTGACGTTGGCTGCTTCGCCTTACCCAGCCGGGCGTCTAGCCACTCCCTCGGCGGGGAGCTGGTACATCCCGGTCCCCTGGTGCGGAGTGACCGAGACAGTTTTTGCCACTGTTTGTGTGATGCAGCTTTTGAAAGATTTCCTGATTTTCAGAGTCAAAGTTTGCGGAGAAGGGGAGGGTTTTTTTTTTTTTTTTTAAGACTTATTTGTTTTTATTGGAAAGTCAGATTTACAAAAAGGAGAGACAAAGAGGAAGATTTTACATCTACTGGTTCACTCCCCAAGTGGGCACAACAGCCTGAGCTAAGCCAATCCAAAGCCAGGAGCCAGCAGCTTCTTCTGGGTCTCCTATGTGGGTGCAGGGCCCCAAGGCTTTGGGCCGTCCTTGACCGCTTTCCCAGGCCACAGGCAGGGAGCTGGATGGGACGTGGAGCGTCTGGGATATGAACTGGTGCCCACATGGGATTCTGGTGGTACATGCAAGGTAGGATTTTAGTGCTAGGCTACCACACTGGGCCTGGAAAAGGGAAGTTGTATGACATGGCCTCAAGGAGACTTCTAGCCCCCCCAGCCTGAGCCCCCCACTGCTGCAGTGTGCTATGATGAGAGAGAGGGGGAGACAGACCCTCTGTCTTTGGAGGCCCCATCACTGCAGCCAGAATCCTGGAACTTCCCTGTGGTCTTGCATGTGGGGTGGGAGGGACCCCAGCACTGGAGCCATCACCTGTAGCCTTCTCAGGCATGTTAGCAGGGAGCTGCATTGAAAGTGGAGTAGCCGGGACTTGAACCATTGCTCTGATATGGGATGTTGGCAACGCAGGCAGTGGCTCACCCACTCCTTCACGAACCTGGACTTTCCCACATAGCATTATAGCAGATATTTTGTTACTGACTCATCAACAGGATTTAAACAATGTTTAAGGAGTTATTGTATGTGTTTGTAAGATAAGGTTTTAGAGGGCCCAGTGTGATAGCGTAATGGCTAAAGTCCTCGCCTTGCACGCCCGGGATCCCATATGGGTGCCGGTTCTAATCCCGGTAGCCCCGCTTCCCATCCAGCTCTCTGCCTGTGACCTGGGAAAGCAGTGGAGGATGGCCCAAGACTTTGGGATCCTGTGCCCCCGTGGGAGACCCGGAGGAGTCTCCTTCGGATTGGCTCAGCTCTGGCTGTTGCGGCCGCCTGGGGAGTGAATCATTGGACAGAATATCTTCCTCTCTCTCCTTTCTGTATATTCACCTTTCCAATAAAAAATAAAAAATCTTAAAAAAAAAAAGAGGTAGGGTTATAGAGAAAAAGAGGCAGATCTTCCATCTGCTGCTTCATTTCCCAAATTGCTGCATGGCCAGAGCTGGACCAGGCTGAAGCCAGGAGCCTGGAGCTTTAGAATCTGGGTCCCCCATGTGGGTGCAGGGGCCCTGGCACTTGGGGCGTCTTTCACTGCTTTCCCAGGTGCGTAAACAGGGAGCTGGGTAAGAAGCAGAGCAGCCAGGGCTCCCTTCACCTGGTGCTCATAGGAGATCCCAGCATTGCAGGCAGCAGGCTAACCCACTGCACCATCACACAGGCCCCCATTTTTTCTTATATTGGCACATAGCAATGGCCTGTGTTTATGGGACACCTGTACATTTAGGGTCACTGGCACGTCTACTATTCCAGCCATTGTCTGTGTTGGGAGCATTTCGGGGTCTCCTCCCTGCCATGTGCAGGGGCCCTGTGATCGTGACCAGCCACGGCCTTGCAGCGCGCCTGCCTGCAGCCTGTATAGCACCCACGTTCCCTGCGGGCGCGGCCTTCTACACCCAGCAGCCATCCAGTCGCCAGCGCTTCCCCCCAATTCCAGATGGCGCCGTGGGAATTCCCATCTGGGTGCTAAAAGCCTCTTGTTTGTATTTTGAGTCGTTGGTCTTTGATATTTGTTAACTGATGATTTATTGGTTTAGCTGAAAGGCAGAGTTAGAGAGGGAGAGAAACCTTCCATCTGTTGGAGCTTCCTCCAGGTCTCCCACGCGGGTGCAGGGTCCCAAGGTTCTGAACCATCCTCAACTGCTTTCCCAGGCCACAAGCAGGGAGCTGGATGGGAAGTGGAGCTGCCTTGATTAGAACCAGCTCCCATATGGGATGTGGATGTTTCAGGCAGCGGCTTGGTGTGCTGCGCCATGGTGCTGTACCCGCCTCCCCCTGTGTTTTCATGGGGTTCTTGGGGTAAAGTTTGAGCAGGAAGCTTACTGGGCGAAAGGACAATGCTTTGAGAACTCGTGCGTGAGGTCTTTGTGAACTAGGCATCGCACACCTGGTCGTCGCCAGCTTGATTTCCTGCAGTGGTACTACTTGGCGACCTCCGATGCCAACGAGACGGTCCCCTGTGCGGTCAGGAGCTGGTGGCTGCCACGTCGGGGTCCCTGACGCGTGGTCCTCTCCTCCCCGCCCCGTGCAGACCATCAGCCGTGCCTTCATGAACGGCAGCTCCGTGGAGCATGTGATTGACTTTGGCCTCGACTACCCCGAAGGCATGGCCGTCGACTGGATGGGCAGGAACCTTTACTGGGCCGACACCGGGACCAACAGGATCGAAGTGGCCCGGCTCGATGGCCAGTTCCGGCGGGTGCTGGTGTGGAGGGACTTGGATAACCCCAGATCGCTGGCCCTGGATCCTGCCAAGGGGTAAGGAAGGCCAGGTGCCTGTGGTCCCCTCATGAGCCCCTTTGACAACATCTGCAGTTGGGTGGCAGCGTGCCATCTGTCATTGGCTTGTAGGGTCCTGAGGCCAGCGCAGTGGGCAGGGGTGGATGTCCCCTCTGGTCACCTCCCTTGCACCTGGTGTCTGTGCACACCTGAGCTCACAGCCGCTCAGGGCCTTGCCTGGGATCAAATGACCGCCAGGTGCACTGAGACCAGGACATGCCTCCCGGCCTCTGGGAGTCCCCGAGGCTGCTGGAAGGCCCTGGTGCGGGCCATGGAGCTGAGCCTGCCTCGGTCTGGGCACTCTGTTTGGGCATCAGAGCCTGGGTTTCCTTCCGCCTCCCCCTTCCGCCCTTGTGCCCTATGCCCTGTGTGGCCGTGGCTGTGGCTGCATCGTGGCCGGAGTGTTGCAGACCCAGCTGGGGGGGCGGGTCAGGAAGGCTCCGACAGCAGGGGTGAGGGTGGAGGGGGGTCGGGAAGGCTCTGACAGCAAGGGTGAGGGTGGAGGGGGGTTGGGAAGACTCCGACAGCAGGAAAGCTGGGAAACATCTTTCCGGAGTCTGGCCAGGCAGGCCAGGCAGGGCAGGAGCCGCTGACAGAGACGGCTCAGAGCAGAGACTTTTTGTTGTTTTTTAAAGAATTGTTATTTGAAAGGCAGAGTTACAGAGAAACAGAGAAAGATCTTCCATTTGCTGCTTCATTCCGCAAGTGGCCACAACGGCCAGAGCTGAGCTGATCCAAAGCCAGGAGCCTGGAGCCAGGAGCCTCTTCCAGGTCTCCCACGTGGGTGCAGGGTCCCAAGGCTTTGGGCCGTCCTCGACTGCTTTCCCAGATCACAAGCAGGGAGCTGAATGGGAAGTGGAGCAGCCGAGACACAAACTTGTGCCTATATGAAGTGCTGGTGTTACAGATGGAGGCTTAACTTGCTATGCCACAACTGTGCCCCATGGAGCTGAGCTTGAATCCCGATCCTGCTATGCCTCCTGCCTTAACTTACCAGCTGCGACTTTCTGCATGTCCAGTTAGCGTCTGTGCCCACACAGGTGTGCCAGAGTGGGTGTTTTAGCACCTAGTTTTGTATCTGTTGGTGGGCGTACCTGCCTCACAGGTGCTTGGGGCCGTAGCATGGTGTCAGCCCCTGGGAGAGGTTTGGGTCATGGCCCCCTCCCCTATCCTGTTCCCTCGGGGGACACAGAGGAGATGGCAATGGCTATGTTGTCTTGCATGTGCCTTCGGTGGACTCAGCCCGCCCCGCCCTGCCCCGTCCCTGTGTCCTCCAGCTACCTCTACTGGACCGAATGGGGCGGCAGGCCGAGGATTGTGCGGGCCTTCATGGACGGCACCAACGGCGTGACGCTGGTGGACAAGGTGGGCCGGGCCAACGACCTCACCATCGACTACGCCGACCAGCGCCTGTACTGGGCCGACCTGGACACCAACATGATCGAGTCGTCCGACATGCTGGGTGAGGCCTGAGCGCTCGTGCGGACCTCCTGGGGGAGGGCTAACGCCGTGGCTTAGGACGGCAGCTGCTGGGTGCTAGGTCCCAGCAGAGCCAAGTACCAAGACTGATGTCATGGTGAAGGTCAGCAGTGGGTGGGGAGGCTGAGGCCCAGGGCCCGTGCTCCATCTGCAGCAGCCCTGGATACCTACTTGTGCCTGTGGTCATGCAGGGAGCTCGCTTGGACTCCTGGCACCCCCCCGGATGGGCGCTGCACCCCTGTTTTCATGAATCCCTGAGCTCTCTCCCTGTGCCCGGGCTGGGGAAGTGGAAGGTCGGAGGGGGCAGGGCCCCGTGGGCTCTCTGGGCTCGTGGCAGAGAACAGCAGTGCCTGGCATGGTGAGAGCTGCGGGGAGCGCACCCCGGCACCCGGCTGCCCGAGGTGCTGGCCATGCTGGTTGTGGTGCTCCCAGCTCACATGTGTGCTGCATGGTTACATATGTGCTCCATGCACACCTGAGTGCCTTGTTATCAAGGGTCTATTCCACAGTCATGTGTGTTTCCTGACTTCCTGTGGAATGAGGATCCCTAGCCAGCTGAACTATTGGGGGAGTGGGGAGTTTCCCGACCTGGTTCAGACATGGCTCAGTTACTGAGACAGGGAGATGGTCTGTCTGCTGGTTCACCCCCCACCCCCCAGATGGCTGCAGTGGCCAGGGCTGAGTCAGGCTGGAGCCATCAAGGTCTCCCATGAAGGTGGCAGTGGCCCAAGCACTGGAGCCATCTGCTGCTGCTTTTCCCAGGTGACTGCAGGGAGCTGGATTGGAAGTGAAACCTTTGTAGAGTGAGCCATGGCCCGGATGGGATGCTGGCATTGTGGGCAGTGCCTCAGCGCTAGCCCTGGCTTAGCCGCTTCTGGTGAACAGCTCTGCCTGTCACCATCCAGTTCCAAAACTTTCTCATCTTGCCAGTGAGACACGGCCTGCTGGGCCCCGACTCCTCGTTGCTGCCCCCAGCCCTGGCGGCCCCACCTACTTTTCATCTCTGGATTTGCTCATGCTGGTAAAGACCTTTGCTTCATACTGAATAGCCAGGGTTGTCTCCCCTTCATAAACTTACATGGTTTATGTTGAAAATCAGAGTTACAGAGAGATCTTCCATCTACTGGTTCACTCCCTAAGTGGCTGCAAGAAAGAGGTGGGCCTGGCCGAAGTCAGGAGCCAGGGAGTTCTGTGTCTCCCACATGGGTGGCAAGGTGCCCAGGCATTCTGCACTGCTTTTCCCAGACCGTTAGCAGGGAGCTGCCTTGGAAGTGGGCGACGGAGCACTGGGGAAGTAACCGGGGCCACACAGGGTGCCAGCCTTGCAGGTGATAGAGGACCTTGCTACACCATGATCCGACCCACCCATCTCAGATTCTTTTTTTCTTAATTAATTTATTTTTTAAATGATCTTACTTAGTTGATTAGGGTACAATCAACCCTAGAGGGTCAAGGGCTACAGGAAAGTGGGTATACCATTATTTCCACATTAGTATCATTTTTTTCCCCCTGTATCTGGGATCAGGGGAGAAACAAAGGGAGAATCCCCACCCAGCCTCCCACCCATCCCAGGTCCCCGATGTGGGGCACGCTCTGAGGGTCCTGCTCAAGTGGTTTGATAGTTCAACAGTTCTGAATTGTTGCCAATCTCGCCGTTCGAATCGCGATGAAACCTATTCAGAGTCCACTGGCTGACATAGTCTCTTAATGATTGGGGTTCTGAGATCAGCAGTTCAGTTGGAAGGATCCCCAAAGAAACTTCATCTGAGGTGATCCCAGACCTGATTCTTGTGTGAGTTTACTAGTACAGGGTCCGGCACAGTCCATTGCCCCAATCAGCTTATGCACATGCTGGTTGTTGCAATTGCTGGGTCAGTTCTGTTTCCAGCCCTGTCATCCACTTGAACCAATGGGTGTTATAGTCCAGCTCAACTTCATACACAGTCCTTATGCAAACCAGTGGGAGCTGCTGCCCAGTTCGGGCGACTCCCCTTAACCCCCACCAGGCCTGCCCTCTACCCTGGTTCCCATGCTTGCCAGTATGTGCCACCGGCTTGTCCAGTCTGTCCCACATCCCATACTTGTAGCTCTCGTACTTGTCAATGGGCATTGAAGCCTAGTTCAACCCAACCAACCTACTATCCAGTCCACACACATACTGGCAGGTGCCTTTCTGTCTAGCCACCCCAGCCCCTGTCCTGGTTTTCGTGCTCTCCAGTGGGAGTGGTTATCCACGAGGGAGGTGCCCGCTATCTCCCTACTAGGCCACTCCAACTTCTGGATTATGCAATTTCCAGGTGGTTCCGGCATTTGACTTAACAGAATTGGTCCCCAGTGCCGGCATCTGCCATCTAATCCATCTCAGATTCTTAATTCTATGCTGCCCAAGGTGACGGACTTGGGGTCTGCCAAAGGGGGCAGTGGGCCACCCGCATGCAGCTGTGCCAAGCATTGATTTGGTTTCTTGGGCCAGCACTGGGAATGTGACGTCACTAATTGGCCATTGTGGGATATCCCAGTGTCCCTGGGTGGACGCTCCAATGCGAGTTCTTCCTCAGAACCCTCACTGTGTCGAAGGGAGCACTGATTGGCACGGCCTTCCCCAGCTCCCGTGCTCCCGAGGGAGGAGCTTTAAAAATATATACTGCATTTATTTTGTTTTTAATGATGCTTACATACTTAAGAAAGATGTATGCCCGTGTGAATCATGGATTAGCATGGGAAGGGTCGAGGAACGGGGAGAATGGATGAGACAACTGCTGGGGTTTTTTTTAATATTTATTGATTTTTATTGCAAAGTCAGATATACATAGAGAGGAGAATAGACAGAGAGGAAGATCTTCCGTCCAATGATTCACTCCCCAAGTGACTGCAACGACTGGTGCTGTGCCCATCCGAAGCCAGGAGCAAGGAACTCTTTTGGGTCTCCCACATCGGTGCGGGGTCCCAAGGCTTTGGGCCGTCCTTGACTGCTTTCCCAGGCCACAAGTAGGGAGCTAGATGGGAAGTGGAGCTGTCGGGATTAGAACCAGCGCCCATATGGGATCCCGGGGCTTTCAAGGCGAGGACTTTAGCTGCTAGGCCACTGCTCTAGGCCCAAGACAATTGTTTCTAATCTCGTTTTTTCTTCCTGTATCTTGAGAAAGTGGGAAGAGAATGGGAGAGGGCCGCTTGCAGCAGCCCAACCACACCAGCACCTGGGATGGGGGACAGCCACCTGATGTCATCCCAGGGTCCCCCATGTGGAGCATGCTCTGAGGGTTCTGCCCAAGTGGTTTCAATAGTTCTGACATGCTGTCGATCTCACTGAACCAAGGATGAGGAAACCCTTCCAAGGTCCGTCAGCTGACATGGACCACCTGAGAGTCTCCGCTCACCCAGATACTCACTGTCTAAGCTCGGCCAGCAGAGCTGTCCAGTTTGTTCTGCCCTTCATGGCGCTAGACATCCTCTTTAGGCCTCAATGAGCTGGTTGGCATGTCCCCCTTGAGCATCTGGGCATTCCGCCCACTGCACAAGCTTCAACAAACGTGGAGACCCAGTTCTGCCACAGGCACTCCACGGTCAGATTTTCCCTGATGTTGGAAATCTGAGTCTAGTGGACCAGTTGGGGTCCCCAAAGAAACCTCACCAAAGGTGACCCCAGACCTGATTCCTGTGTGTGCCAGCCAATGTGGGGTCTGGCTCAGTCTGTCACCCACATCAGCCTGCACACGCATTGGTGGTTACAGTCACCTGGTCATGTGCACATCAATGGATGCTAAGGACCAGCCCAGTCCTGCTCACCACACACTCGGCCCTCAATCACACTAGCAGGAACTACAGCCTATTTAGGGTGACCAGGTAACCCCTACCAGACCTGCCCCCAGCCCTGGTTCCTGTGGATCCTGTATGTACAAAAAAATTGATCAGTCCGTCCTATATCCCATTCAGTTCATGTATACGTCATTGGATGCTGGATCCTAGCTCAGCCTGACCAGCTTCACTATCCAGCCCACACTTAGGCTGTCAACTGCCACTGCCTATCCAGCCAGGCCCACCGCAAGCTCTGGTTCTCATGCCCATTGGTGAGAATTGCAGCCCATCACAGGGGCACACACAGTTCCCCTACTCAGCCCACTCCCTGCCCAGATCTTGCACTTTCCAGGTGATTCTGGCAGTCCAGGCTGACAAGGCTTGCTCCCAGTCCCACCACCTGCCAATCATTGCTACAGCAAAATCTGACCAGCCCACACTTACTCTGCTTCATGCATGTGCCAATGGGTATGGTTTCTTAGCCCAGCCTAACTGTCCCCTAATTCAGCTTACATGTAGGACAGCGGGTGTTGTAGGCTACTCAGCCTGGTCTGCCCTGAATCCCAGCTCTTATGCTCACCAGCAGGAGCAGTGGCCCAGCGGGGAGTCTTTGCAGCCTGGCATGCACACCCTTCCTCCTCCTCCTGCCACCAGGGCGGGCTCGTGCTGATGGATGCTGCAGCTCAGTCTGGCACGTCTCATTTCATTCACTAGCAGGTGCTGCAACCCAGCCCAGTCTGGTACATTCCAGACCCAATCCACACCCATGCTGAGGGATGCCCAGCTCAATTTACCTCCCCCATTCTGGCTCTTGGGCTCACCAGTGGGAACTGCAACCCAGCTGGGGGAATCCCCTCAGCTCCCCAACTGCACAGCTCCCAGCCACACATCTGGCACATGCCAGTGGTTGCTCTGATCCAGCCCAACATAACCCATCACCCAGCCTGGCCTGTGCCATCAGATGCTGCAGCCTGGCCTGGCCTGGCTTGCCCCCAGTTCCAATTTTGACTGGTGGGTGTTGTAGCCTAGCCCTTCCCAGACTGCCCCTGTCCCTGCCTTTCATGTAAAACGGTAGTGTGATAGCCTGGCCCAGCATGGCCCTCACCCCATGGCCCAGCCCTGCCCAGTCCACCTCCGCAGAGCCAACCCACACACCTGCTAACAAGTGAAGCATCCCTGCCGGCCTGATCAACACCCAGCCCACTCACGTGCTCACCAATGGGAGCGATGGCCCACCAGGCCAGTTCCCCAAGTTCCCCCACTAGGCTCACCCCCAGAGCCAGAGCTCATGTGTGCCAGTGGGTGCTAGGCCTTAACCCGGCAGTCTGCCCCCTAGTGTCTACCTCTGTGTGTGCTGGTGGATGTTGTGGCCCTGACCTGCCCCACAGCCAGTTCCTGGGTGTGCCTTTGGGTGCTGCAGCCTGGACCAGCCTGGCCTGTTCTCGACCCTAGCACCCATGAGTATTGATGACCATGATCATGCCCAGCTCAGCCCTTCACCACCCAGCTCTCAAGCAAACCAGCTGGTATGGCAGTTCCACAGGGGTGAGCCCACAGTCTCCCACAGAATCTGCTCCCAGGCCCAGTTCTCTCACAAGCCAGTTACTGCCATGGCCCAGCCTGACACGGTCCATCCCTTGCCCTGACACTCACTGCTGGGGTACTGTGGTTGAGCCCTGCCAGGCAGGCCCCCAGCCATGGCTTTAGCAGATGGTGATTGATGCCAACCATCCCAGCTCAGGGCCCCCTTGTGAGTGGGTGTGTTGGTTTGGCCCTGAAAGGCCCTCCAGTTTCCCTGCTCTAAACCACCCGGTCTCAGCCCCCTCATTTACCTGTAAGTTCAGTAGGACAGGGCAAATTTTTACAGAGAGGAGGAAAGAAAGAGCAAGGTCTTCCATCTGCTGGTTCATTCCCCAAATGGCTGCAGTGGCCAGAGCTGAGCTGATTCAGAGCTGGGAGCTGCTTCTTCCCACGCGGGTGCAGGAACCCAAGGGGCTGCTGAAGCTTGCAGCTGGAGGAAAAGCTTGCCTGAGTACCCCACTGGCCCCTGGAATTTGAGGTGCTTTAAAGCAGTGGGTGTTTCAGTGGGACGCAAACAGGCTTGCTGATCAGTCCACGGGCAGAGACTGTTACGCAGTGTAAGTGGCTTCCACAGACAAGGGGGTACGCCACTCCAGTCCCGTCCCAGGAGTCCCAGCAGCCACCCCAGGGATTATCACGTGCGTTAGCTTTGTTACAGAACTTTCCAGAACTGTGGTCCTGCAGCATGTGCTGTTTCATGGCCGCTCACTCAGAGGACGTGAGCTGCGCCCATGGTGTGGGATTCCATTCCTGTAGCACTCCTGTGACGCGATGCCCCCCGTGAGCTGGCATGTGACTTGGCAGGACTCACCTCTGGGCCCTTCCCTGCATGTCAGCCGTGGGCATTGCGTGTGGTTCTCTGATGGGGCACTGTGGGGGTGGACTCAGCTTTGGGAGATGCGGGGTGGAGGATGCCCCTGGCTGTGCGTGCCGAGCTCACCTGCGCGGGCGGGGCCGGGTCTCCACGCAGGTCAGGAGCGGGTGGTGATTGCTGACGACCTCCCGCACCCCTTCGGCCTGACGCAGTACAGCGACTACGTCTACTGGACCGACTGGAACCTGCACAGCATCGAGCGCGCCGACAAGACCAGTGGCCGCAACCGCACCCTCGTCCAGGGCCACCTGGACTTTGTCATGGACATCCTGGTGTTCCACGCCTCCCGCCAGGGCGGCCTCAACGACTGCACGTACAGCAACGGCCAGTGCGGGCAGCTGTGCCTCGCCGTCCCTGCTGGCCACCGCTGCAGCTGCGCCTCCCATTACACCCTGGACCCCGACACCCGCAACTGTAGCCGTAAGTGCCTCAAGCCACATCCCCGCCACGTCCCCACCCTCCTTGGCGGGACAGCCCGGCCCAGGGTGGGTGCTGAGGTCCCGCCCTCCTTGGAGGGTCAGCCCAGCTCTGTCTGGGTGGGTGCTGAGGTCCCGCCCTCCTTGGCGGGTCAGCCCGGCCCAGGGTGGGTGCTGAGGGGAGGGTCAGCCCAGCTCTGTCTGGGTGGGTGCTGAGGTCCCGCCCTCCTTGGCGGGTCAGCCCGGCCCTGGGTGGGTGCTGAGGGGAGGGTCAGCCCAGCTCTGTCTGGGTGGGTGCTGAGGTCCCGCCCTCCTTGGCGGGTCAGCCCAGCTCTGTCTGGGTGGGTGCTGAGGCGGCCATGGGCAGCAGCTCGCACCTGTTGCTCTGTCTCTCCTGGCGCGTGACCTGAAAGGGTCCGGTGGGTGGTGAGCTGGCCAGGAGGAGACGCCGCCACTTGGAGTCCCTGCCCTGTGGTTGTCAGACCTGGCGTTCCTGATGTGGGCACTGTCCTGGCCCCACGGTTGCCTTGTCGTGGGTTCTGGCTCTCCCGGGGCATCCCAGGCGGCACACACTCCAGCGGATGTGCGGTTGGTCTGTCTTGGATCTTAATCTAAGAATAAATGCCACAAAGCACCTTGGGCTGGAGGCGTCCTTGTGGGCAGCGGAGCCTGCGCCAGGGAGTGGCCTGTGTCCTCCTGGTCTCCGTGGGTGTCCAGCGGGAACGGGAGCTGCTGTGCGACCCAGCCTCCAGCAGAAGGGAGACATGCGTCTGGCCCTGCCGCCTGCGGGTCCTGACACACAGCTCTGGCTTTGCCTCGCTGTAGCACCCACCAGCTTCCTGCTGTTCAGCCAGAAATACGCCATCAGCCGTATGATCCCTGACGAGCAGCGCAGCCCAGACCTTGTCCTGCCGCTGCACGGGCTCAGGAACGTCCGGGCCATTACCTACGACCCGCTGGACAGGTTCATCTACTGGGTGGACGGGCGCCAGAACATCAAGCGTGCCAAGGACGACGGGACCCAGGCAGGTGCACCTGCGGGGTGGGGCTGGGGCTGCTTCTGCGAGAGGCCCCTCGGCTGTCTCCCCTGCTCCGCTCCCAACCCCTGCCAGCCCAGCCCCATTTCAGGAGGAAGGAGTGCATTGCCACCGGGGGTACAGGCAGCTGCGTGAGATCCCTGGCCTGGCCGGAGACGCAGGGCCTGGGCCTGCTGGCTGCACGGTGGGAGCGGGACAAGCCCAGGGGCCACCCTTCTGCCCACATTGGCTGAGTGTGCACGAGGTGGCTGTGCCGTCCCACCATGTTGAAACATCTCATAGACTTTGTGCAGTCAGATCAGTAACACCGAGACCACGCAGGGCCCATGGGACAGGGACAGCGGCTCCGGCCCAGCACCCAGAGCGCCATCTAGACCAGTGGTTACCGAGCCTGGAGCGGTGTTGGGGAGGAAGCAGATGAAAGGCTGGGAGAGCCAGCTCCAGGGAAGGCCCTGGCCGCTCCTCTGCTGGGAACAGGCCCTTCCCATCCTGTGACTCTTGCCGGCTCCGCTTCTCGGGAGGAGGCTGCCCTGGCTCGGCTTCTTTATTGGGGGGTCAACCCCTCCACCCACCCCAGCTCCCAGGACGCTGGCTGTTTGCTGCAAGCTTTCCGTTGTTTCACTGCAGTTGGCATGCACAGTAGTGCCCTTTGGAAGCAAGTGACCGGGCTGTCCCCCTCGCAGACGCCCCTGGGAATCCCTACTCCGGTGGCCCGGCTGCCCTGGGGGCCTCCCGGAGCTGCAGGCCCACTGAATATGTCATGTGTCAGAGCATCCTGCTTCCCTGGCCGTCCTCCCTCCTATCCAGACAGGCAGGTCAAGTTCACCTTGGGCTGGGGGTTCAGGCCACCAAGGGGACAGGAGGTGTCCGTGGCCTCTGGCCGGAAGCTTTGTGTTCACGGATCATTCCCTAGTGACGCCGGAGCGAGGCTGCGTCCGGCCGGCCCTGCAGGTGGAGGGCTTGTCGCAGATACTGGTTAGGACCCCTGAAGGCCCAGATGCATCCCCGAGGTGTGGCCATGGACTACCTGTGCAGACTCCTGGACAGGGAGGGTCAGGCCTGGGCATGCCAAGGTACCTAAAGGGGAGCTGCTGGTCAGCCCTACACCCTCGCTGGGCCCTGTACCCCACCTTCCTCCCTCAGGGAAAGGCGTGGTCAGAGGTGACCCCTGGCTTTTGCATTTGCCATCCTGGGTTGAAATTAAACTTTTCGTGGATTTTCACCCAAAAGAATGTGGTCCTGTCAGACGCTCTGGCAGGGACAGCACCTGAGAGCCACCAACCCCCAGCCTGGGATCTCAGCCGGGATCCTGAGGGGGCCTGGAGCCTTTTGGAAGCTGGAAGAGCGGTTGGGTCTCCCTCTGTACTGTCTGCTGGGCGCACAGACAAGAACTGAGCTGAGAGGGAAGGTCCCAGGCTGGTGTCAGCGTCTGCTTCCGCCCTTCCACGGGCACTCTGGCACGCCACAGGGTCCCTGACAGATGGCGCCGCACGGCCTCTCTGCTCCCTGCAGCCCTCCGTGCTGACCTCGCAGAGCCAGAACCCGGACAGGCAGCCGCACGACCTGAGCGTGGACGTCTACGGCCGCGCGCTCTTCTGGACGTGCGAGGCCACCAACACTATCAACGTGCAGCGGCTGAACGGCGAGGCCATGGGTGTGGTGCTCCGAGGGGACCGTGACAGGCCCAGGGCCATCGTGGTCAACGCTGAGCGGGGGTAGGCGGCAGGGGCGGGCGGCTGAGATGGGTGGGCGTCCACAACCTGCGCCCTGGGACCCCATCCATAATAAGAGCAGAAAATGGGACACAGACGCAGCCACAGTCATGGCCTGAGAGCTGAGCGCCCCCCAGCCCCTGCCTGGGCCAGCAGAGAGCAGCTTCTAGAAGCCACCACGGACGGTCCTCCTGTCCTGGTGCCAGCAACCTGGCATCCAGCTGTCTGAAGGCTCTACGCCTCTTGGGTAGCCAGGCACTACCTGATGGCTTTAGTGGCCCTTGGGTTCCTCTGTTGGGCCTGGTGCAATAGCCTAATGGCTAAATCCTTGCCTTGCATGTGCTGGGATTTCAGATGGCTGTCGGTTCAGATCGCATGTCCTGGCTGCTCCGCTTCCCATCCAGCTCCCTGCTTGTGGCCTGGGAAAGCAATTGAGGACGGGCCTAAGCCTTGGGACCCTGCACCTGCATGGGAGGCCTGGAAGAAGCTCCCTGTTCCTGGCTTCAGATTGGCTCAGCTCAGGCTGTTGTGTCCACTTGGGGAGTAAACCAGTGAATGGAAAATCTTTCTCTCTGTCTCTCCTTCACTCTGTAAATCTGACTAAATAATAAATAAATCTTATAAAAAAAATTACTTGTGAGGTAGCATGGCAGAGAAGTGGAGGGAGAGGAAGCTTGTCAGTTTAGTGGCCTCCTTCCCAAATGCCCTCAACTGCGGGGCTGGCCCAGCTGAAGTCAGGAGCCAGGGACCCTATGTGGGTCTCCCACACGGGTGGCAGGGCGTCCAGGCATGTTCTGAGTCCTGGGGCTGCCCCGTAACCCCCGTGCCTGCAGGCCACTCCGAGCCACAGTCGCCTTGCTCCCACGTGCCGGAGTCCAGCTCCAGCTGAGTTCGGAACTCGCGAAGGGTGCGTGGATGAGGCGCAAAGAGGAAAGAAAGAGACGGACCACTAGGACTTCATGATCATAATGGACAATGCACAAAAGCTGTCCGCTTTATTTATACAAAATCAGTCAAATTCTGGCTCAGACTTTTTACGTCATTAACAAATGGATATTTCTAAGGATAATTCTGCCTTTAGTTTTACTTAGAAACAATAGAAGTTCCTGCTAGGATTCTTATCCTATAACTCAATCTTGTATCACAAAGAAAAGGAGAACTTAAAGGTCAAGGAAAGAATGAAAGCCTAAATACAGGTCCCTTGATTAGCAAAGGTTCAATGGGGACAGTTAAGATAATAGGAATGACAAAAGGCCCCATTTGCAAGACATTGACCTCCAAGTTCAGGCTGAGCAAAAGGTTAACCTCGCAGTAGCAAATGTCAGGATGGATTAGAATTCTTCCGCAGGGCGGTCCAGTGTCCATGCAAAAGAAGATGGAGTTGCATTCAGGTGGTTGTAGAGCCATCCGCCGGGTGAACAGCGGGAAATTCCTTGCGGCCCTGCCTGCAATGGAACACTCTTCACCCCCTCATGTCCCCCACATCTACTGCACGGACCCCAGCATCTCCCCCTCTCTTATTATTAAGTTGGAGGGTGCGGAGTTCTCTGCGAGTGACTTGAATCATGGAGCTCAAACGTCGGAAGATGACTGGGCCAAAAAACAATACAAAAAGGAGAACAATTAGTGTTATTCCTAAATTTATAAAAAATGAGTAGGAGGTCTTATCAGAAATAAAAGATGAAAGAGATTGTAAGAATTGATTAGTAACACTTCCAGCAGAGAGAGCCTGAAGGTGAGAGTGAGAGATGGCAGAAATCTGAGCATGTAATTCCTGAATGCTAAGGCTAGTAGATGTGTCATTCCATACACCTTGGAGATGAGTTTTAACATCACTCCAAGAGACATGTGAGTCATTATAAGGGAGAGGAGTGACACAAATCCATTTATAAATACTATGGCAAGTGGTACCAAATCTGGTTTTTAAACGTTAAGTTTCATTGCCAATATAAATATCTGCTTCTTCTAATGCACCAATCTTGGCCTCTAAATTGCTCAATACTTTCCTATGTACTTATTGCACCAGCTGTAAGAGGTCCAATTAGGGTAACAAATTGCAGTGAGACCCAAACATAACATACAAAGGATGGACAAAGTCGTTGAAAACAATTCCAAAGCATAAAGATCAGCATCATCATACCATGGTTCAGTCAAATTTACAGGTAACATTACATGTGAGGGTCTTCTCAAGACACCAAAAGTACCAGGTTTCAGGGAACAATTAAGACAATTAGTGACAACACACTTTGTACAAGTTACAGTGTATATAGAGCCATCTCAGAAAAGCGAGAGGGAACTTAAGGCTCCATCTTGTAAGGGAGGAATGTTACTTATCAGCAGTCCTTTTGGAAGTAGCTTGAGTCCTGCACGGGGATGTCTTCGGTGGTTGAGGTGGTCAGCAGATGTACATGTGACGTGTCCTCGTGGCAGGTGTTGATCTTCTGCGCATACTTGGCCTTTAAAACAGTTCCAGGTGGAAGTGTCCATTGACCTCAGCAAGGGTAGCACTGAGGCTAGTGAAACTCTTTCTGTTGTTTTGGCCAGAGGGAAGCAAGAAGGAGAGATAGCACCAGCGTTCCTCCTGGTACTTAGGTCACTACTCTTCCTCTGGGCCTCTGGGAAAGTAGGCTGTAGAGGAAGTCTTTGGGATGTCAGGTTTATAAGTTAGCCATATCTATATAAATTCTGGAGATCTACCTGTATATTCTGAGAGGCCTTTTTTGGTTTTTAGAGAGGAAGTAGAAGAGAAGTGAAGAGAAAGCTAATCACGCTTAGTAACAACATCAGGTGAAAACTATTAAAAAACAGTTTTAGAAAATAGATACTGGCTTAAATAGTACATTGAAAAGGCAGTGGGAATATACCATGAGTAACCTGGTTATTAAGTGAACTTGAGCACAAACATATAGATGACTTAAAACATTTTCAATGACAGTCTGAGGCTTAAATTATGTGAGCCAAAACAATAGAGTAGTTTCAGTAATGATCTAAAATCTTTAGACATTTTGAAATTATAAATTGCTTAGAATAACCTGTTGTTTGTAGTAAGATAAGTTTGCATGGTTATTCAGATGGTTTCTCATCTGATCTCAAGGAACGTTGAGACCAGACAGTAAAACACACACACACACACATTCACTCCCCCCCTATTTTTTTTTTTTTTTTACTATAGAGGACTGTAAGAGTATAATTTCAAACAATTTTAACAAAAAGACATACAGCAAGACAAACATAGGTGGCCACCACACTCATTCAATTTTAAATAGCTAATGAGGGTCTCATATGGACCCTGACTCAAGAAGTTGTGTTGTATCCAGCCCTCTTGAGTCCTAGATGAGTACTCAAAACAAGCAAAGTTGGTACCTGTACATAGGCAGAGGTCAGTGCAAATCCTGTGAGCCGGGAAGCCAGGGCTGGCAGTGGGGCCGTGTAAATCATCACGGTGGCCTCCCCAGATGACCAAGCCAGGCTCCAGAACACAGGATGGCTACTACCCTCTGACTGAGGCCTCCAAAATGTTGCAGAGTGCAAGAAAAATCATGTCAGATAAATTTAGAATTTATTAAGGCGCCTTTATAAACCAAGCTTGGTGATAGCAGTACCCATTAAAATTAGTGAGAAGTCAACAATGATAACTCAGTCTGAGTTAAAGCCCTGAGAGAAAAAAATTGGTCATTATCAAAGACCCTGATTTTAGTTATCTTAGCAATATAGATTAACCCAAGAGATATACAGTCAGCAGCCTAGACATATTTGCAAAACTGTAAACATTTATCTGTATCTGGCTTTTTGTTGTTAAGCATTACCTGTCCTGGAACTTTTGGAAATGCAGAAATTTGAATTAGTCTTCTGTAAAAAAATTTTTTTTATAGTAATAGTATTTTGATATGACAGAATTATGTTCCACTTAGCATCTCACAGTATATTTAATACAATCCAAATGCCTACTCAGTGGTATCTACTAAATAAAACTTTCAAATTTTTAAAATGCATATCAAGGATGTCAAGATTTATAATATCTAATTGAAATAGAATCTCTTTATAAAACACAATATAGATGAGATGTAATTATTGGCATTAAGTGACCACTTTAAATATCTATAAATAAGTACATAACTTTTATCAATGTTAAGCGAAGTGAACATACTGAAAGGCAGAAAACACAAAGATCACTTCAACATAGAATCTTATATTCTGAGACACTTCAACAAAGCCAGGTCTGGAGTTCACTGGAGCCAACTAGAAAGATTTAATCGTTAATTAGATTTAAAAAAAAAACAATTAAGAGGAGATGTTATAATAATATGTGCTTTTAAAACTTTGTTGTTATAACAGAAGATCAGATTTTAATTCCATAAAGCAATGATGGACATTTTAGAAACCGCTGCAAACAGTTTTTAAAGAAGATATATCTAAATATAAAGACTAGCAGATAAAAGCATAGGTGCATCCCATACCTGGAAAAAATGGATTAGATGTTGCTTTGATTCCAGTTTATGTTTGGTGTAAATGTTACACCTTTAAAGGAATGCCTTAAACAATACCCTAAGAGTTATATTCATAAAATTCAAAAATTCAAGATAAAAACTTAATAGAGTTAAGAGAGAGATGTTAATTATGAAAAATCATTGTTTATAACAGTACAAGATGCTAGATATTTTTGTGTGGACCCAGATTGGGGGTACCAGGCTTGACAAAGGGGAAAAAAGTAAAACGTGCTGGAGAAACTGCACCTGTGGGCTGAGTATCCTAACAGAGTGGAAGGGGAGGAGGTCAGGGAGAGATTGTACCTGCTGGAGAGAAGAGAGTTTAACCCTGAAGTTGCTGGGCAGGAGGAGGAACTTCTGTAGAGGATGCTTGCTGCTGCGAAATGGCAGGCGGGTGGAAATGTAAACTGGACAAGGATGCCTAATCAGTCGATCTGGAATCCACGTGAGCAAGTCCATGACCTGTGGAAAAATGAAAGCATTCCCTCCTCCAAATTTTAAGAGGAAATTGGGTCCTTTCTATTGGCCAGTAAGGATATTTTCAAAATCTGATTAGAGAAACTATTTTGTTAGATGACCTATCTGTAAAGACTAAAGAAGCAGGTTAAGGAAAAAGTTAAGGAACAAATCTTTTGAAATATAACTGGATGGCTTAACAAGAAGGAGATTTTTAGCTAAATGGTATCAAATTGTACCTACAAGGGTGAAGAGTGCTATTTGTCAGGTCTCATCCTTGGATATTAGATAACTAAGCTGTTAAAAGCTATAAGGAACAATTATTTAATTTACATCTTTGCAAAAAGGCTCCTATTCCTATGATATCTCTTAATAATTAAGGTGGAGACCAAAGCACAATAAGGAGTAATAACCTTTTTATACATGGAAAGGAGATGCAGCCACTCTAAAGACCCTTGTTGTCACAAACATCCAGTTGGGATATGAACAGCAGGTAGTATAATTAGTTGCCAAGGAAGATACCAACTTTTAATTAGCATTCCACAATCAATATCAAATTTACTGTTACTCTTCTATAGGCACAGCTTGGGTAAAATATTGCTGTCTTTTAAATCTCTGATTCTTTAGGGCCCGAGACTGGCCCCGCCAGGAGTTTCCTGACCACAGCTGCTGGCCATCATGATCAATTTTAGATTTACATTTACATACTTTTGCCCAATGTACACCTCTATGACATTTAGGACTTATTTTAGGGCAGTGATCCTTAGCAGTATTAGTGCCACATTTTTGAGCTAAAAGAGATACTGCTGCTCGGCATGGTTTTGGAAGGTGTCTGGGCTTCCCACCATTAAAACATTTAGCATGACATTTAAATCTATTTTGCTTTAACCCATTGCTTAATGCAGCACTCGATATTTTAGTTTTGTACCTTTCAGAGACAATATCCATACATGACCCCATTACTTGGGGGGCCCAGGACAGGGTCCGCCTCCCGTTTCCCTGCATCTGACCCTGTACAGACTGATTACTCAATCTAGATCGACTTTGAGGCAATAGAACTGTTCCATTCTTGTGGAATTTAGACTGACAAGCTTTCTGCCAATGAAATCCCTTCTCACACCGTGGACAGACAGTGCGAGGAATATTTAAATTGGCTTTAGGAGTGTCCTGTTTGAAATTTTGGGATGAGTTTCTGGCAGGACAGCTGTGGCTGAAATGCCCTACTTCACCACAAGAATAGCAATTGTTTCTTTTTCTATTTCTTTGATTGCCTCTAATGTTCTTTAAAATCTGAGTGGCAGTTTGACCTTGAAGAGCTGCAGCGATAGTTAACCCTTGTATGTAAGATGGAGTTACCTCAGCACAAGCTCGAACATAGTCTGACAAATCTCCTGTCCTTCTCACTGGCTGAATTAAGGTCTGGCAAGTTGGAGTAGCATTTTCAAAAGCTAGCTGTTTAACTATGAGATCTATAGCTGTATTGTTAATTACTGTCCGGCTCACTGCCTCGGTGAGTCTAGCTACAAACTCTTCAAAAGGCTCCTCAGGCTTCTGCTTAACATTTACAAAACCTGGAGACTTTTGATCTGGAGATGGCAGGCGTCTCCATGCTCCTAGTGCCAGGGAGGAGATAAGCTGTAAGGTCTCCTTAGGCAGAGCAAGTTGTTCTGAAACACCAAGATGAGTGCCCTGTCCTAAAAGCATGTCTAGGGTAAAAGAAGGTTTGCCACACCTCACAGATCCCTGAGACTTTACTTCTGCCTTAGCTAATTCCTCATATTCCATTTTCCACAAAAGGAAGTTTCCTCCTGTGAGGCAAGCCTTGGCAATCTGAAACCAATCATATGGAGTCATCCACTTTGCTGCTAGGCTCTCCACTATTGCCATAGTGTACGGGGAGTTTGGCCCGTAGTCAGAGACAGCATGCTTAAGTTCTTTAATAAGCTTATAAGGCAACGGCTCCCATTCAGGTTCATCCCATTCATAAACAACAGGAAAACAGAAAAAATCACCTTCCTTATGCGCCTGCTGCACCCACGCGCGCCTGTGGCTGTGTATCAGCTTCTGGTGTTGTGTTCGTGGAGGCTGTCCTTGGGGTTCAGGGCCCTCGGTGCCAGGGCCTGGGAGGAGCCACACTGCGGACCGGCCCCCGCGCCCAGCGCCCTGACCCTCCCCGCTGCCGTCCGCAGGCATCTGTACTTCACCAACATGCAGGAGCGAACGGCCAAGATCGAGCGGGCGGCCCTGGACGGCACGGAGCGCGAGGTCCTGTTCACCACGGGCCTCGTCCGCCCTGTGGCCCTCGTGGTGGACAACGCGCTGGGCAAGCTCTTCTGGGTGGACGCCGACCTGAAGCGCATTGAGAGCTGCGACCTGTCAGGTGTGTGCCTGGGGCAGCCAGCCTCGGCAGGGAGCTCCTTGCCTGCCAGGTGCCAGACCTGGCACTGCGGGGGTACCCTGCAGCTTCTGGCGGGGCCGACAGAACGGGAGCCGGTTGTTCGGGCTCCCGCACTGCAGGGAGTGGAGCCAATCCCCTACCTCTGGCCCCTGGGACAGCACTGGGTTAGCAAGAGTTGGGGGATTCCTCATATCTTCCCGTGGGGGCTGCTGTGCCTCCAGAGGCCAGTGGTCACAGTCCCAGTCTGGGGCTCTGACCCAGGGAATTGGCCCAGCTCCCAGCCCTGGCCAGGGCACCCCAGGGGCCTCCTCTGGAACCTTCTCTGCCTGCCCGAACCAAGCCCGTGTCCCCCCCGCCACCCTGCCTGCAGGAGCCAATCGCCTGACCCTGGAAGATGCCAACATCGTGCAGCCTGTGGGCCTGACCGTGCTGGGCCGGCACCTCTACTGGGTCGACCGCCAGCAGCAGATGGTAGAGCGCGTGGAGAAGACCACGGGGGCCAAGCGGACGCGCGTCCAGGGCCGCGTGGCCCACCTCACGGGCATCCACGCTGTGGAGGAAGTCAGTCCGGACGAGTTCTGTATGTTGGGGCAGGCGGGGATCACTCAGGCACAGGGACCACAGCTGGGGTCAGAGGTGCCCCAGGCCTGGCTCCTTCCAGGGACCTGTGGAGAGGAACCACCTTGCCTGGTCACCTGTTCCCTGCTGGCCGTCGCTGGGGACTCCTAGTCCCTCTGTGTCCACCTTGGCCCCTCGGGCTTCCCAGCGTTGGTCTCTCCAACTTGTCCCCTGCTGCCAGCTGCGCAGTCCGCGGGCTCTGGTGGCCTCAGGGCTAGTTACAGCTGACAAGGCCCCAGCCCAGCCCACCTCTGCTGGTAGCTCACAAACCCGACCACCCTCGAGAGTCCCTGGGCGGGGTGGGGTTGGGGAGGTCTTCCATTGTCTGCCTGTTTTTGTCCCAGCAATTGTAGCATTCCTGGGACTTGGGCCAAGGTTCCCTGACCTCGTCCTGGGCCCACAGCCCCAGGTGTTAGTGGGACCTCAGCCCCTGGATGAGGGGAGTGTGTGTGCGCCTGAGTCCTCTGGGGCTGTTGGCTGTGCAGCCTGCACTGGGTGATGAGCGAGGCCCTCCCTCGGGGCCTGGCCTGCAGGCGTGCCTGTCGTCCCCACCTTCTGGGCCGTGGGCCTGACTCCCCAACCCCCGCTGTGTCGCTGCAGTGGCCCACCCGTGTGCCCGGGACAATGGCGGTTGCTCGCACATCTGCGTTGCCAAGGGTGACGGGACGCCGCGGTGCTCCTGCCCCGTCCACCTGGTGCTCCTGCAGAACCTGCTCACCTGCGGAGGTAGGCGTGATGGCTCTCCGGGCGGGGCCACCCTCTGCCTGCAGGCCCCTCCTCTTCCTCCCTTCTTTCCTTTCTTCCTTTCTCTCTCTGGCCTCCTCCCAGTTATTTGCTCATTTGAAAGGAAAACAGAGAGGAAGAGAAAAAGACAGTGGAAAAAATATGTATAACATTGTTTTTTATTTTGATATCACCTTTTCTGCTATACCTGTAGGGAGGGGACAGGAGGGGCCACTGCTGTGGTTAGATTACATCAGCGTATGGGGATGGGGCACAGTCTCAGAGACCCCGAAGCAGGGAGAGTGTCCCAGGGTGTCACTTGAGTGGTTTTGTTGCTTCTGAGATGTTGTGGGCTGCATTGTAACAGAGTTGATAGAATCTTTCGGAGATGTGTTGGCTGACCAAGTCCACCTTGGTGCCTCCGCAGACCCGGGGACACACTGCAAAGCTTGGCCAGGAGAATTCTCCAACCTCTTTTACTTTCCATCCTCTGATGAGGCAGCTGACACCCTCTGCTGGCTCGCCAGCGGGAGCCCTAGCGTAGCAGACAAGTCCTCAAGTTCCTCTAGCAGGCCTGTTCCCAGCCCCGGGTCTCACACGTGCCAGTGGGTGCTGCAGCCGAGCCTAACGTGACCCAGTCCCTGTCCTGATGCTCACTGGCGAGTACTGCAGCTGAGCCTGGCTGGCCTTGACCCATTCTGGCTGTCACCAGTGAGTGCTACAGCCTAGCCCAGGCTGGCCTGCTCCCAGACCCAGGTCACGTGTGACCTGACAGGTGCCAAGGCCTAGCCCAGCCTGACCCACCCGCAGACCCAGCTTATACTAATGCTGATGGGAGCTGCGGCCCAGCCTGGCTTGGCCCTGGCCCTAGCCCTGCTGTTCCCCAACGGGAGCTGCAGACTCACGGGGGAGCGCCCCAAACTCCCCTGCCAGCCCCGCTCCCAGCCATTGCTACCATGTGTGGTGGTAGGTACCAAAGCCCTTCCTGGCCCAGTCTGCCCTCACTTCTGGACTTGGCATGTGCTGCAGCCTGGCTCAGCCCGGATTCTTCCCAGTCCCAGCTCCAGCACCCTAGCCTGGTAGGCCCATCACCTTCCAGTTTTTCCAGGTAGACGCCGTGGTCTCACAGAGAGGCCCACAAACCCCCATACAGAATCTGCTCCCAGATTTAGTTCTCTTGTGTTCTGGCGGGTGCTGTGGCCCAGCCTTGCCAGGCATGCCCCACTGGTTTTCATGTGCCGTGGCACGCAGTGGGTAATACTGCTCAGCCCAGCCCAGGTCTCCCACATGAGCAGCTGCCTTGACCTGATTCCGACATGTCCTCTGGTTCTGCCCCTCTCATCTCCCATGCCTACCTGTGAGCGCAGTGGCCTGGTCCATGGAGGCCCCCGGAAGTCACTTCTCCCCAATCCAACATGTCCCCAGACTTCCTTCCCCAAGCAGTCTGTACCCACCTCCCAACCTGCATTGGCACATAGTATGCCTGGGGACAAGGTGGCATGTCCCGGCCTGGCATCCCCCACCTTCCCCACAAATGTTAAATACAGAGCTGGCATTAACCATGCCTAAATGCCTGCCAGCTGTTGGCTGCTTTTCTCCCAAACTGTGTAAACGTGCCTAGGTACAAGGCAGCTTAGGCAGTTGCCTACGGCTGAGCTGTCTGTACATTATTTTAAGACTTACTTGTGGGCCCAGTGTGGTGGCCTAGCGGCTGAAGTCCTCGCCTTGAATGTGCCAGGATCCCATATGGGCGCTGGTTCTAATTCTGGTGGTCCCGTTTCTCATCCAATTCCCTGCTTGTGGCCTGAGAAGGCAGTTGTGGATCGGCCAAAGCCTTGGGACCCTGCACCCGCGTGGGAGACCTGGAGGAGGTTCCAGGCTCCTGGCTTCAGATTGGCTCAGCTCTGGCAATTGTGGTCACCTGGGGAGTGAACCATCGGACAGAGATCTTCCTCTCAATTTCTTCTCTCTGTATATCTGACTTTGCAGTAAAAATAAATCAATCTTTAAAAAAAGACTTGTTTTTATTTTAAAGGCAGAATTACAGAGAAAGAGAAGAGAGAGGTCTTCCATCCAGTGGTTCACTCCCCAAGTGGCTGCAACGGCCAGAGCTGGGATGTTCCAAAGTCAAGAGCTTTTTCTGGATTTCCCACATGGATACAGAGGTTCAAGGACTTGGGCCATCTTCCACTTGTTTCCTAAGCCCTTAATACAGGGAGCTGGATCAGAAGTGGAGTAGCTGGGACTCGAACTATCATGGGATGCCAGCACCACAGGCAACAATTTTCCCCACTATACCGTGGTGCAATCCCAGAGGCAGAAATATTTTCCATCTACTGGTTCGTTCTGTAAATGTTTGCGCAGCCCTGGGAGCGGGGCATGCGGGGGCTGGACCAAAAGCAGTTGTCAGGAGCTCCCTATTGGTCTCCCCTGTGAGTGACAAGAGCCCTTCCTCCTCTGCGTCCGGGTGCTGCAGGCAGCCTCATCTGTGGCCCACCCCACTGTGCTGCAGTGTCTGCCTCTCTCATATACGCCTGCTGTGCTATGAATGTCCCTCCAAGCCCTGCTATTCCTGCCACTCAGCTGATCCAGAGCCAGGAGCTTCTTCTGCTCTCCCACTGGGCTCAGGGTCCCAAGGCTTTGGGCCGTTCTCGACTGCTTTCCCAGGCCAGAAGCAGAGAGCTGGATGGGAAGTGCAGCAGCCGGGGCTTGAACCGGCGCCCATATGGGATGCTGGTGCTTGCAGGTGGAGGATTATCATGTTGAGCCGCAGCACTTGCCCCTGTTCCTGCAACTGAGATTCTGCTGGGTTGTGTTTTTGTCTTCAAGTGGTCCTGCAGCTTTTCAGATCCCCCGAGGTGGCCTCTGTGCCCCGTGTGTTACTTGGGAAGTATATCATTCAGTTCCAAGATATTCGGGGAATATTCCAGCTGTCACTCGGTGAGCTGGTTGCTACTTTAATTCCACAGTGACCTGAACTCTCTCTTTGATTCCTGTTCTTGATATCTGTCCAGGGGTGTTGTGTGCCCCAACTTGTGGTCTGGTCTTGCTGAATGTTCCGTGTGAACTTGGGAAGAATATGGGTGGAACCTTCTAGAAGCATCTGCTGAGCCAGTTGAGTGGCTGTGCTCGCTGACTGTGCAGCTGGAGGTGTCAGCAGTTGACGGGTGTTGAGGTTGTAAGGTCTGTTTCTCCTTGAGGTCCTTACCCCTCCTTCTAGCTGTGTTCCCATGCCTCCCCTGAGGCCACGTGGCGAGGCTGGCCATGGTCAAGTAGGTGGGTTTTGCCGGCAGACAAAGCTGGGTTCCAGCGCTGGCTCTGCCATTTATTTCCCTGCTGAGCAGGCCTGGGCTGACCACTTGCCCTCTCGGAGCTGCTCATCCCAGCGTCCCCCTGCTGCTGGGCCCGTGGGTCAGTTCCCAGAGCTCGTGTCCGCTAAGCTCCTATGTGTGGCTCAGGGTCGGCAGTGCCCAGGAAGACAGGGGGTCCACGTGACCCCTCAGGGCCTTGGCTGGCTGTGAAGGGATGCTCCAGCTGCCAGCCCAGACCCCCTCCCCGCTTCGGGGCTGGAGGCGGTGACACTGCCACTCGGGACATGGGCATCCCGTGTCAGAGTGCCCCTGGCCATGTCCAGCTTCCTGCTATGTGCCCTGGGCAGTGGCAGGGGATGACTCAACTCCTTGGGTGTCCAGCATGGGGCTCTGGGCTCCTGGCTGTGCAGGCACTGGGGAGAGAAGCCAGCAGGTGGATGTCTGTCTTTCAGATACGTAACAACAATGAATACACCTTTAAATAAAACGACTCACTCCCTTTAGTTGGGGCAGCAGAGTAACTTCCAGGGTCTCCAGCAGAGGGAGCCCTTCCATCATCCCCTCCCCTCCTGTTGTGCCTTCAGGTGTCCCTGCCTTGGCTTGGGTGGCTCAACAGGCACTCTCTGCATCACCCCCTGGGTCCTCCACTCTCCCCTGCCCTGCACAGGGCCCCAGTCCCACGTCTTTGGTTGTCCTGGGCCCTGGAACAGCATGGAATGGTGATCTCTCACTTCCCACCTCTCTGCCTCCCCACTGGAGAGGTAGATGTTTGGGCACGGCCAGGCAGGTGCACCTGTGTGGGGGTCGTGATTGGGCCTGTGGTCTGATCTGGGGCTCGGCTACCCAGAAGACGGACCCTGTACCCTTGGGGTGCCTGTGGGGAGACTGAGGCCCTGAGGGAAGGTGTTCAGAGCCATTTCCTGCCCAGCAGCACCTTTGGTGTACACCCTTTTCCATGGTGCAGAAAGAGCCACAACAATGACCGTGTCACTTTGCAGCAAGCCTGGGGCTGGCGGGGGGACCCCTGTGTGCCCCCTGCTCTGGCAGCACTGTAGCTGACGGGTTGTCATGGGTTTTCTCTGTCTTGGCCACAGAACCACCCACCTGCTCCCCCGACCAGTTCGCCTGTGCCACGGGGGAGATCGACTGTATCCCAGGCGCCTGGCGCTGTGACGGCTTTCCCGAGTGTGACGACCAGAGCGACGAGGAGGGCTGCCCAGTGTGCTCGGCCGCCCAGTTCCCCTGTGCACGGGGCCAGTGCGTGGACCTGCGGCTGCGCTGTGACGGCGAAGCCGACTGCCAGGACCGCTCCGACGAGGCCGACTGCGACGGTGAGGGCCTGCCCCAGCTGCCCCCGCTCTGCCCAGGCTGCTCGCCTTGCCCTGCTGTCCTGGAGCCAGAGCCGGGGCCCTGGGAAGTCACTGGGTCAGCTTGGGAGAGCAGGCGGGAGTTTGCGATCCAGGGAGGAAAGCAGTTCTGCTGCATGTCGCCGTGCTAGCTCCTGCAGAACTCAGAGCAGAGCTGCGCCTGAGAGCGGGGCTGCCCATCTGCCTCCCAGCAGCCTGGAGGAGCAGTACTTACCCAAGGGCGCTCAGTAGCCTTTAAATACTTCCCAGATGACCACAACAGCCAGGGCTGGACCAGGAGCTCTGAGCCAGGAGCCTGGAGCTTCTTCTGGGACTCCTATGCGGGTGCAGGGTCCCAGGGCTTTGGGCCGTCCTCGACTGCTTTCCCAGGCCACAGGCAGGGAGCTGGATGGGAAGTGGGGCAGCCGGGACTTGAACTGGCGCTCATGTGGGATGCTGGCGCTGTGGGTGGCTGTCTTCCTTGCTGCCAGCCCACCCACTTGTTGAGCTGGAAGTTACATGGAGTGATTTTCTCAGGCACCCCAAACCTCTGTGCCTGGCAGGATCCTCCTTCAAGTCTCCCCAGTGAAGTCTGTCCCTGGCCTGCCCCTCGGGGCATCTGTGCACCTGCTGGCTTTGTCTACATTGAGGTCCTGGGACTGCCGTGGAGCCCTCAGTGCCGCCACTCTCGCTGTGCCTCAGAGCCCCCCACCAACTCCCCGTCTTGGCTCACACAGAGGTGTCTGCTTGCGGCAGCCCTCTGCTACCTGGAGCAGGCCACTGGGGGTGGTGAGGGCCCGGGAGCTATCTCTCAAGCCCCAGTGCAGTCTCCGAGGAGCCAGTGGGCGCCATGGAAAGCAGCAGACGGTGGCTTCCAGGCCACACAGACCCCACTGCCTGAAAGACAAAAACACAACCTTGATCTGGGAAAGTCTGGGAGTCACCCTGGAGTGCTGCTGGGGACACAGCTGTGCCATGCAGGGAGCTGCGTACTGCTTGTGGCCCGGAAGCGGAGGGTCTGCTCTGGGTCCTGCACAGCCCATTGTCCTCACTGCCCCGTAGCTGCCCCATAGTCACGGGGGCCCTGGCTGGTGCCCTTCGAGTTCTTCTCCTGTACAAGTGTGGCCCCACATCCGGGTCCTCAGATGGGTTCCGTCTCTATGCTATGTTTCCAAAACTTCCTCCCAGACTTAGGAGGACTGGAAAATTGTCCACTCATTTCAAGGATAGGGTTCCCATGTCCCCAGCTCCAGGGCCATGTGGGGAACGTAGCATGTCACCCAGGCCCCTTGGGGCTGTCTGCCTGCGCAGGGCAAAGGTTGCTCTCATCCTTTATTACTATGAAAGATATGTTTATTTTTATTGGAAAGGCAGATTTACAGAGAAAATGAGAGACAGAAAGATCTTCCATCTGCTGGCTCACTCCCCAGATGGCTGCAACAGCCAGAGCTTGGCAGATCTGAAGCCAGGAGCTTCTTCCAGGTCTCCCATGCAGGTGCAGGGTTCTAAGGCTTTGGGCCATCCTCTGCTATTTCCCAGGCTACAAGCAGGGAGCTGGATGGAAAGTGGAGTAGCTGGGACATGAACTGGTGCCTCTGTGGGATCTGGGCACTTGGAGGCGGAGGACTAGCCAGTTGAGCCATTGCATTGGCACTCGCTGTGATCCTTTTACTTGAGCTGCACAGGCCGTGGGAGGCGGGAGGGCTCAGCAGGTGTAGTGGAGCCTGGCTGACTGGGTCCTTGGAAGGGTCCCGTGGTCCTGTCTGCGTTGGAGCTCAGGCTGTGCCACGGCCCTTCTGAGTGTGGGGCCACCTCCCATTCCTTGCAGCTGTCTGTCTGCCCAACCAGTTCCGCTGTGCCAGCGGCCAGTGTGTGCTCATCCGACAGCAGTGCGACTCCTTCCCTGACTGCATGGATGGCTCTGACGAGCTCATGTGTGGTGAGTCGCCCCTGTCCCTGGCTGTGTGCTCCATGGGCACTGGGGGCCATGGCAGGGGCTCGGGCAGCCAGGGAGGGCTTCCGGAGGCACTGGCTCCTGCAAGTCTGATTCTGTCAGGAGGGGAGCTGGCCCTGGACATGGGAGGCAGAAACGGCTGGGGCGGGAGTGCTGCTTCTGGGCAGGGGGCTGATACCAGGGGTCCCCGAGCCTGCCGGGGCCAGGTGACAACGATGGGAGCCTCGGTCAGGGTCATCACATGACACTAGTCCACAGCCAGGCCTTGACCCCTCTGGGGTGTGGTGGGGGCATAGCTAACAGATAACGGGGGAGTTGCCCGGGGAGGCCCTGCTGGTGTGCGCCCAGGAACCCCCCAGCCAACATGTGCCCTGCACTTGGCCCGCCTGGCCTGTACATGACATATGTGCTGCCCTGGGTGTCCTCCTGCATGGAAGGGGTCAGGGTGATCTGGGGCTGCCCTACCCTGCCCGTGGGTGTGTGGAGCCCTGGCAGAGCTCCTTGTGGGACTCACGTTGGCCTCTCTGCGCCCTCCTCTGTGTGTCCCTGGCAGAAATCACCAGGCCGCCGTCGGACGATGTGGTGGCCCACAGCAGTGCCATCGGGCCCGTCATCGGCATCATCCTTTCCGTGTTTGTCATGGGCGGGGTCTACTTCGTGTGCCAGCGTGTGGTGTGCCAGCGCTATACAGGTGCCAATGGGCCCTTCCCGCACGAGTATGTCAGCGGGACCCCGCACGTGCCCCTCAATTTCATCGCCCCTGGCGGCTCACAGCACGGCCCCTTCGCAGGTGAGGTGGGAGGGGTAGCGTGTGTGTGTCTGGAGGTGCAGGTAGAAGCTGCCCACCAGGCACGGCACGACCTCCCCTTGCTGCGGGCATGTCGGGCTGGACTGACCTGGGGAACCTGTCCTGGGTCGTCCCCTAGGGCCTCATGTGCCATGAGCCCGGCTCGGCATGGGCCCACGCTACCATCTGGGCAGGTCACTGAGGCTGGTTGTACTGCCCACCTGGCATGGTCCCTGGGAAGGTGGGCTGGGTTTGTGGATGCACCGGGAGCTCAAGCCCGGTTTGTGTCATGTGGGTGGCCGTGGTGTGCCCAAGAAGGTGGGTTCAGGGGTCACTGGACCCTGGGAGGGCCTGGGAGGGACTGAGGGGACCCCCCACGGTCTCAGGGCCACCTTGGGGATAGTCCCGGGGACCTGTCGTGCCTGCTGGGAACATGCGCCGGAGGTGTGTGATGGTCACTGGCCGGCAGGCTATGTGCTGTGGGTCCGCGCCACGGCAACCCACAGAATTCACTGCAGACGTAGCCGAGGCGTCTCTGAAGCTGGGCTTCGACGTGACCGTGCCCCGTCCCGTGCAGGCATCTCCTGCAGCAAGTCCGTGATGAACTCCATGAACCTGGTGGGCGGTCGGGCCGGGGTGCCCCTCTACGACCGGAACCACGTCACCGGGGCCTCATCCAGCAGCTCGTCCAGCACGAAGGCCACGCTGTACCCGCCGGTGAGTGGCTGTGATGGGCGTGGCCCTGGGGCAGGCCAGCCAGGGCCACCGGGCTCCTCTCCTGCCTTGCCACACCGTGGCTTTCATGGTGGCTTGACCGGCATTTTCGGTCCTCTGCCTTCCGAAGTGTTTCAGGGAGAGGCAAGCTTGAGCACGGGGGGGGTCATCCGGAAGCTGCTCCCGCCTGTGACGGGCTGGCGTGGCCTCTCAGGCCCTGGTCGGGCGCCGGGCCCTGTTCTGCCTCAGCCCTTCGAGGGTCCCTACCACCCGTGAGGGAGACTTGGTTGAGTCCTCCTGGGGCACTTGGGCAGTGAACCAGCAAATGGAGCTCGCTCGCTCTCACCTCCTGCTCCACCAGCCCCTCCCTGAGCCTCCTGGGGAGCCCCAGGCTGTTCTTGTTGTACCCAAGGATGCCTGTGGTGAGTGGGACAAGCCCCCACCGAGTTCTGATTGGTAATCAGTGTTAGGTAGGGTCATTGCCGTCGCACACCACGGCGAGGGACTGGGAGGAGCTGCTAGCCGGGGGCCAGCGGGAGGCCTCTGGCACCTCTGATGGACACCGGCTGGGGGGCAAGTCACGCCTCGTGTGCATCTGGGCATCGTGGGCTCCCTGCCCAGGCTGTGTGCACTCCCTGAGCTGGCCCTGCCCTTCCCCTTTTCATAGCTGACCCTGGGTTATCTCCAGCAGGCCCCGGGTGGCTGTGGCTGCCCTAGGAGCCAGGCCGCTGGAGGTCAGACTGTGCGTGCCTGGCTCTGCTGTGATGTAGTACTGGCTCCATCCCCCGCCTGCCGGCTGGACTGGCCAAGTCCTCCCTGCCCGGCTCCACGGGGAAGGGGCGGGCATGATGGGGTAGGGGATGTTCCAGGGCACAGAGCTGCCCCTGTGGTTTTAGACACCCAGTCCCTGAACCTCCTCTTCCCAGCATGCACAGCCATTGTGGGCTCTGTGTCTGTCAGATGGGTCCAGGGTAGACACAGGAGGCCTCCCCGTCCTGGAGCAGGGTGGCCGTGTGGCTCCTCCCCCACCACGCTGGAAGCCCTCCGCTGTGTCCCAGCCACGCTCACATCCTGAGAAACCCATGGAACTGGGTGTAGGCTGGTCGCTGCTCAGCAGCTTGGCCTGTCTCAGCGCAGCGTCAGGGACTACGGGGCTGTCCTGGGAGCCGCCCAGCTTCGTGACCAGAAGCCCCATTGCGTGTCACTCCCACACCGCTCCCCGCCAAGAAGGAACATGCTGGCTGATGTCAGAGCGTCAGGGGCCCCCCGGTACTCTCGGCCCGGGCAAATCCAGGGCTCATCCCTGCCCGGGGCTGTGGGAACCTGGCATTCCGCCCACCCCTGCCCAGCACCTCCGTGGTTCTCAGCTGTGGTCTACACCCCGGGGCGTGGACCCACCACTGCCCATGCTGCCCACGCCTAGCACTGCCGCTCACCACCGTTCCCAGCTTGCCCTGAGGGAGTCTGGGGTGTAACTGGCGGGTTACTGCCTGCCCAGTCATTGTCCATGGTCCCTGCCAAGGTGGTGGTGCTGGGGATCACTGCTCCTCTCTCTCTCCTACCCAGAGCTGACCCAGTCTTTGTGGCTGAACAATGGCCTGTGAGCTGAGCAGGCCCATGGTGGTGGCCATCGGGGGTCCTGCTGCAGACTCTTATGAGCGCCCCCTTCAAGGGGACAGTCCTCGGTCGCATCAGCAGAGGGCAACCCCAGCAGTGCTGTCCCTGTCCAGGGGCTAGTTCAGTAATCCATTTTATTTTATTTTATTGGGAAGGCAGATGTACAGAGAGGAGAGACAGAGAGGAAGATCTGTCCGATGATTTACTCCCCAAGTGGCTGCAACAGCCGGTGCTGAGCTGATCCAAAGCCAGGAGCCAGGAACTTCTTTCCTGGTCTCCCACGTGGGTGCAGGGTCCCAAGGCTTTTGGCCGCCCTTGATTGCTTTCCCAGGTCACAAGCAGGGAGCTAGATGGGAAACAGGGCTGCCAGGATTAGAACCGGCGCCCATATGGGATCCTGGTGCGTTCGAGGCGAGGACCTTAACCACTACGCTGTCACGCCGGGCCCTCCATTTTCTTTTGTGACGACGTTCTGCACCCGTCGTTTTGGGGGTCGGAGCCTGAGCAGTCCCAGGCTGGCTGAGGGGCTCTAGGGGATACCCCTGGGGTCGGGAGCAGGGCCGGGGCTGCCTAAGAGGCTGGGGAGCACGTGCCGCCACTCCTGCTGTCACTCCCAGCACTGGAGCAGCGGAGGGAGCAGGTCTCGGTCCTGCTTTCCTTCTAATTTTTTGTGAAGTTCATTTTCATGTATTTGAAAGGCAGAAAGAGAGAGATCTTGTGTCCACTGGCTCACCCCTCCAGTGCCTCCGCCAGCCCAGGCTGGCCGGGGGGGCTCCTGTGGGTCTCCCGCGTGGGTGGCCGGGGCCAGTTGAGCAGTCATCTCCTACCGCCCAGGAGTGTCGGCTGGATGTGCAGTGGTTGGTGCCGCCCCCTAACCCTAACCCATCCCCTAACTGCTGCGCAGGAATAGGGGCTGCGGGCATCTCCTGCTGGGACCTGGGGCCCAAGTTCTGCCTTTGTGATGGTGGCTGAGTGTGTGCAGTGCTGCCCAGGTGCTCAGGTACTTGGCAACGGCAGATCACCCTGGGTGGAGGGCTCCTTCGTGCAGGTGGCTGTGTCAGGGCTCACCAGGACTGAGCAGCGCCACGGGCGTGGGCAGCAAGAGGCCAGCGTGGTGGAGCTGGCCGGGGACAGAGGCCCCTCCTGCACGCGGAGGGCCTGAACCATGCCGAGGCCCCAGTAACCGTCGCTCGGCTCTCCCAGATCCTGAACCCGCCGCCGTCCCCTGCCACGGACCCTTCCCTGTATAACATGGATGTGTTCTACTCTGCAAACATTCCGCCTGCCGCCACACCCTACAGGTACGAGGCCCCCCTCTGTCCTCCCTGGCTCCCCCAGGCCACTCCTGGCCCCGAGTCCCTGGAGCATGACACCACCTGCCTTGTAGTGTCGGGAGCTGCAGCCGTGGGCCGAGGCCCCGTGTCCTGCCCAGGGACCTGCAGTCACTCCAGCCTCTGTCATCAGCATGCCTCGTCTGTTACTGCCCTGCATTGTCACCCCTGCCCAGGCACACTGGTCCCCATGTCCATCTCCCCACTCCCCGTATAACTTTACTCTGAGCCCCAGCTCCAAGCTCTCTAACCTGTCCCCATGGGGTCCTCACCCTAAGCCCAGGCGACCCGGCAGGAGGGGAAAAGAGGGTGCCCCCTTTGAAGTGGGTAGGCAGTGTGGAGGTGGAGCCTGGGGAAGCCATGCCCTTGGCACTGCCCATGCCCGGCCAGGCAGGTGCAGGCCAGGTCTCCTGACCAGCTGCAGGGACAGGGCCGCCTCCCTGAGGGGACTCTGACCTGGGCCTCTGTGCTACACAGGCCCTACGTCATCCGGGGCGCGGTGCCCCCAACCACACCCTGCAGCACGGACGTGTGCGACAGCGACTACAGCGCCAGCCGCTGGAAGTCCAGCAAGTACTACCTGGACCTAAACTCGGACTCTGACCCCTACCCGCCCCCGCCCACGCCACACAGCCAGTACCTGTCGGCCGAGGACAGCTGCCCGCCGTCGCCCGCCACCGAGAGGAGCTACTTCCATCTCTTCCCACCCCCGCCCTCCCCCTGCACGGACTCGTCCTGACCTCGGCCCCTCAGCACCCCTGTACATAGTTTTAAATATGAACAAAGAAAAAAATATATTTTATGATTTAAAAAAAAAGAAATATAATTGGGATTAAAAAAATGAAAAATGTGAACAGTGATGGGTGGGCGGGGCTGGGAGAACTTTGTACAGTGGAGAAAATATTTATAAACTTAATTCATTTTTTTCTAAACCTAACTGCTGCTTTCCTTTGTGCAAGCCGGGGGTGGGGGGGTTGGGGAGTCGGCAACACCGCCCCCTGGTGGCCATATGTGTCCTGTGCGTGCCTGCCCCTCCCCTGGGTGTGTCCAGGGGCACTGGGCACCAAGCTCTGGGCTGCTGCCCATGGCATCAGGGCACCCTGGCCAGACCCCCCACCCCGTCCCCGCTGTGGCTGCTGAGCCAGGGACTAGAAGTGGGTAGAGGAGATGGGAGGAGAACTGGTGCCCTGGAGGTGGGGAAGGGCAGACCTCTGACGCTGGTGGAAGTGTGTGGGAAGAGCTGCGGGCCTCTGCCTCGGGCGCCCACCAGCTGGGGCCTGCGTGGGAGTGGCTGGGCCAAGTGGACAGACCTTCAGGGAGTCACCTCCCTGGCGCCCCAGAATGCCTGGGGGTCCCCTCCCCCGCCCACCTGGAGGCACTGGGTCCACGCGGGCAGCGCTGGAGACAGGCTAGAACTGGTAGAGGGCTGTGCCCTTGGGGCCGCACCCTTGCCAGGAGTTCTCCAGGGTCTGACTGGCAGCGGCCAGGGCAAGTGGGGCAATGACTCAGGAGTGGCTACCGCCTCTCAGAGCTCCCTGGCAGGGGCACTCCCTCCAAGAATCCCCCAATAACTCAGAGAGGACCCCCACCCCACACTAGGGCTGTTGCAAGGTGGGGGCACTGGCCACAGTCCCAGCAGCTGGCTGGGGGAGTCGTCTGCCACCTGCTGTGTGCCAAGTAAGCACCCACTGCATGCAGCTGCACAGAGACCCCCTGAAGTGGCTGGTGAACAATGCCCAGATCCCACCGTGCTGGCACCTGGGCCCCGGGCGGGGGTGGGACTGGGGGCACGGGGCTGCCATCCTGTGTTAGGAAGTGGCAGGACCAGACACCTTTTCATCAGTGGATTCCATCATCCCTTGACCCAGGCGAGGCTGTTATTAAGGTGTCACTCGGCAGGAAGCCTGAGGGACTCCCACGGCCCTGCGTGGCCTCCACCCCAGGTCTCCCAGGGTTTGATCTGCCAGGGAGGGGACCCCAGGCACTCTAGGTCACCCTGAGAAACCTGGGTGGCCTGGAAGGTTGGCTGCACTCTCAGGTCGGGACCACGCCTCTGCCTCTCCCTCAATACCCACGCCCTCTCCTCCCTCCCTCTCCACTGCGGCCCTGCCTGCAGCTGACGGGGCGGGGTCCCTGTCCTGTGTGAGAGATGAGATGGCACCTTCTTGAGCCCTGTCTGGACCCCGCTGCTGCCCACTGCACACATAGTGCCTGCCTCGGGTGACCAGGCCCCAGCTATGGCAGTGCAGCGCCTCCCTTTGCTTAACCCCCTCAAGTTGAACTTAGCTGTAAGTTGTGTTAGTCTTGGAACAACCATTAGAGCGCTAGCAGCTAAAGCTACCAGCCCTGGACCCAGCAAGATGGTTCAATTGGCTAAGCTTTCCCTTGCAGGCACTGGGATTCCACATGGGTATCATTCATGTCCCAGCTGCTCCCCTTTGCTTGCAGCTCCCTGCTTGTGGTCTGGGAAAAAGATGAAGGACGGCCCAAAGCCTCGGGACCCTGCACCCACGGGGAGACGCAGAAGAGGCTCCTGGCTTTAGACTGGCTCAGCTCTGGCCTCTGCCGCAGCCACTTGGGGAGTGCAGCAGCCGATGGAAGATGCATCCCCTCTGCAATTCTTTCAATGAAATAACGAATAGCTCCTTTGTCTTTATAAGGCCCATTTTTTCATATGTCTGTTAGCCTAACTCCAGTAAGACGTTCAGAACCTCAACTAACAACACCTGCTGGCGTGGATGTGGGGAGAAAGGCACCCTCCTTCACTGCTGGTGGGAGTGCAGGCTAGTACAACCACTGTGGAAGTCAGCATGGAGAGTGCTTAGAGAACTGCAAATAAACCTGCCATAAGGCCCAGCTATCCCGCTCCTAGGAATATACCCAAAGGAAATGAAAACTGCATATGAGAAGGGGAACTAAATCTTACATTTACAGCAGCACAATCTACGATAGCAAAGACATGGAAACAAGCCAGATGCCCGTCCAAAGCAGTGGTTAAAGAAACTGTGGTACATCTGCTCCAGGGAATATTATTCAGCCATTAAAAATAATGGAATTATATACCATTTACAGCTAGATGGTCCCAACTAGAGACCATCATGCTCAATGAAATAAGTCAATCCTAAAAAGACAGATGCCATATGCTAATATAAGGAAACCATCATGCAAATTGGATTGTAGAGTGATGGAGAAATGGAGACTACCATGTCCAGATGTGAAGACAACGCAGCATGCATCCCTACTTCCAAACAAAGGACGGGCTCCCGGTGAAAGCACTGGGCATGTCTGGACACTGGGGTGCTGGACTGGCACTGTCGGGGCACACTTAAATAGACTGATGGAATTGTCACTGCTTATGAAGGATTGTACTGTTGGGACAACACGGGAAAAATCAGGCGGGGGGTGGGAATTGGGGGGATCCCAGACTATACAGAATTGTATGATACAATTCAAAATTTAAGAATGAAAATCAAAATGAAAGGCCCATGTTTCTCTTTCTCTGTAGACATGGCCTTTGGGTTATGGAATCAGGGCAACAGGAAATGCGTGTGTGTTTGGTTCACTTAGAAGCCTGAGGGAGAGGGCGAGTGCTCCTGGCTGCCTCACTGCCCGGTTCTCCTTGTGGGAGATGGCGGAGTAGAGGCCGCTCCTGAGTTAAAAGGGTTAACGAGGGAGGTTGTCCCGACGGCCCTCTCCGGGTGAGGCAGGGTCAAAGGGCGATCTTGGCCTTGACCCCGCGGAGAGAGGGTCACCTCACTGAAACAGAGCCACCGGCCAATCACAAAAGTTACCTGTGGAGAATGCGGGCATCGATCCCGCTACCTCTCACATGCTAAGCGAGCGCTCTACCATTTGAGCTAATTCCCCGGATCAGACGAGCTTCCGCCGCCACCGCGGATTGTGGCTCACGTCATCACCGGTTTCCTCGGGGACTCTTCCCCGCTCAGCTCCGCCCTCCTCGCTCTCCCATTGGCTCCCTCGAGGTGCAGGCTCCACGGCCGTGATTGGTTTGGCTCCGTTTAGCAGCCAGCGGCATCGGCCCCTCCGATTGGTGGTCCGAAGCGTCCGTCAAGCAGCGGTCCTGCTGTTGCTACGGCGTAGGGGGGAACAAGCCAAGTTTCTCCCGCTTCCTGATTTGTTTCCCAGACTCCAGGGTCCTAGAGGTTCCGGATCCCTCAAGTCCATGGGAAAAGAATGCGCCCCAAGCGCTTGATTGACAGGACCTGCCGGCCAATCGGAGTGGAGGCCAGGGAGCCGCTGGGCGATCCAATAGGTCGAAGGGGGCGGGCGCGAGAGGCCAATGAGGGCGGGACCGGGGGCGGGGCCAGCGCTGCGATTGGCTGCGAGGCGGCCGGAGGGAGGGCGGGGGGAACTCCAGGCCTGCTTGATACGTCCGCCATTTTGGGCGCTTCGCGGTTGGTGTCGGTGAGCGCGTTTCCCGCCTGAGCGCGACTGGCGGCGGGTCGTGGGCAGCTCCAGGTACGGGGGGCCGGCGCGGCGGGGCGGCGGGGCGCGCGGGCGGCGGCGGCGGCGGGCTCGGGGCCGGGGGGCCGGGCGGCGCGGGAGCTCCCGGGGCCCCTCTCCCCTCCCCCCCGGAATCGGCGGCTCCGCGGCCCGGGAGGCGCGGCGCCCGGTCCTTCCCGGCCGGCCGGGGGTGGACGCGGCCCCCGGGGCGGCCGGCCCCGCGTCGCCGTCCGCGGCCGTGCCGGGGCTCCCCGCAGCGCCGTCCCCCGACCCCGCTCCCGCTCCGGTTCCCGCTCCGGGCCGCCCAGCCTGTGCCGGCTGCGGGCTCGCTCTCTGTCTCTCCGTCTGTCTCTGTCTCTCCGTCTGTCTCTGTCTCTCCGTCTCCGACTAACTTTCTCCCGGCGGCTGGGAGGAGGGGGGGCGGCAACTGGGCGGCAGGGTTCTCGAAGGCCATTGTTGGAACAAGTTTTGTGGCTTTCCCTGAATTCGACGCCGAGTCATCGGGACGCACTAAGCCGGTCCGAGCCCTCCCGTGGCCCTTTCCCGTGCTGGTGCCCAGGACCCTTCCCTGGTCACGAACTCGGACTTTGAGTCCCCTTGGCCGGCAGGTTTAGGAGACGCACGGTGGAGCGGGGCAGCCACTCGCCTTCGGTGCCCGTTGTGGGTGTCGCCCCACTTGACTTGTGTGTGAAGTTGGCTTTGATGTTTGGCCTCAAGGTCATGGTGCAGGCTGGCAGCGCCCAGGGGAAGGGCCGGCCGGTCCGCCCCGCGCGGTGGGTGTCCACTTGCTGGCGCCGTGACCTTGGCGCCGGCGCCCCGTCCCTCGGTCCCCTTGAGCTGTGGGGTCCCGCCGGTGGTTGCTGTGTGCAGAGCCGCCCGGCAGGTGCCTGGCCAGCAGCCGCTTCCAAGTCAGACTCTCAGGAAGTCCCGTCGGAGTTGAAGCCCTGGCAGTTGGTCACCGTCTTTGGAAATGAGCGTCAGGCGGGCTCAAAACTAGGAGCTTCAAGTTCTTTCCTTCTCTTCTTGGTAACGGGACAGGAGGACTCAGATCCAGCTGCTAGCACGCTGACTGGAGGCCCCTTCCTGAATGCTGGTCCGCTGAGATCTGGAGGACTGTTCCCAGCTCCTCGCATCCTCACGGTGTCCTGCGCTGGCCGGGCCGCTGTGTGCCTCGGTGGGTCCCGCACAGCCGTGCGGCCTCCCCGCTGTGTGCCTCGGTGGGTCCCGCACAGCCGTGCGGCCTCCCCGCTGTGTGCCTCGGTGGGTCCCGCACAGCCGTGCGGCCTCCCCGCTGTGTGCCTCGGTGGGTCCCGCACAGCCGTGCAGCCTCCCCGCTGTGTGCCTCGGTGGGTCCCGCACGGCTGTGCATCCTCCCCGCTGTGCTCGGCCTCTGTGCCGGGTTCTGGCGAGTTTGGCTGCACCCCTGAAATGCGCTCTGGTCGCCGGGGGCCTTGGGTGGACACGGGCATCTGCCGGTGTGACCGGTCAAGGCCAGGGAGGGAGTGTTCGGGATCTAGAAGACTTCTGTAAAGTTCAACCAGACACAAGTTAGTAGTTTTGACAGAACTGGAGAGGCCACAGCTGGACAGAAAATGGGTCTGGAGCGAAGACCTGACAGGGTGAGGCATGCTTGGCTTCTCCAAGGTAAGGTTTTGCATCTGGTTGGAAGATAATGTCCTTCCTACAAGTAAACACGTCCGGAGACGCGCGGGTCAGGCTAGGCCTTCGGGGTTAGTGCCGCCGACTGCTGCCTGGCGCTTTAGATTTTAAATATTAACCTGAGTCTGTGTTGACGTGCACCGCTTTACAGCATTGTATTATACTTGGGAAGAGTGGATGACAGCGCTCACGAAGGCCTTGTGACTCTGGGATTTTGGTCACGGGCTCAGCTAGCTCAAGTCGTGGCCCGCGCCGTGGCCACAAGGTGCTGAGGCACCGGCCGGGCCTCTTGACTTCAAGCGGTTTCACTGTCCTGTCCGGAGACTACCTCAGTTGATTGTTAAACTTAGCAGGTTCTCGACTTGGGGCAATTCTGGCCCTGAGGAGCCCCTTCTGCTGACCTCCAGGGGCTGGGTGCTGGGCAGCACGGGACAGCGCTGTGCTGACCACGTTAGAATCAGTGGGTCTTGGCAAGCTGTGAGGGGAGCATTGCGGTGCAGTGGGTTGAGCTACCGTTTGACGTGCTGCACCTCTGAGGAGTGCCTGGTTCAGGCCCCCATTGCCCTGTACTTCTTGCCCAGCAGCGGCTGCTGCTCCTGGGAAGCGGCGGAGGCCGGCCCCTTGGATCCCTGCCACACACTGGGGGACAGGTGGAACTCTGGGCTGCGGCCTGGCCCAGCCTGGCTCCCCACGCCTTTGGGGACTGAACTAGTAGGTGGGCGATCTTTCTCTCTCTCCTTCTGTGTGTAAATCTACCTTCCAATAAAAATAATCTTGCAAAAAAAAAGAACCTGGTTTAAGAAAACTCGCCTGCTGTGAGACCAGAGCTGCTGAGAAGCTGGGCTCGGCACTGCCGGGGGCTGGGCACGGAGACGCTGCTCAGCGCTCCGTGTGCAGGCTGGGACCACTGCAGCTCCATGACACGGGACTGGCGAAGCCTGCCTGTGGCCCAGGCCGGGTGCCGGTGGGCATCGCAGGCCGGCGAGATCATCCGATCTGGCTTGCCGAGGAGTACAGGTGCCTCTCAAGAGCCCATACTGTATGACAGGCTGATTTTTTTACAAAAAGGTTTGATTTGTTTTGAAAGAGGGACAGAGATCTTTGGTCCCCTGGTTCAGTCCCCGGATGGAGCTCAGGGCCCCTTGCCGGGCCGGCTGGGGCAGGAAGCAGGAGCCCACGCCGGACCCGACCGGGGTGGGCAGGTGGGGTGTGCAGCCCGGAAGCCTGGGGGTCCTTCTACCTGTCCTTAGAATTCAGATTGGAAAATTGTAAAGCTTGGGGTATAAATCATTGAAGATCTGTGACTGTTGCTGGGTTCGGAATGCGAGAAGGGTGCGTGGAGAAGGGTGCGTGGAGAAGGCGCAGAGAAAAGAAATGGACCACTACGATTTCAGGATTATAATGGGCAGTGTGAGAAAGCCACCCCCCTTATTTATACAGGCTCTGGCACGCGGTGAAGTGGGGGTTTTCAAAGATAATTGTGCTGTTTGTTTCACCTTAAAGTTCTCAATAGAAGTTCTGAATCAGTAACATTCCTACTACAATCATCATTCTGCAACTTAATCTGGAATCAGTTAAGGCAGGAAATGCATCAGAAGGGAGCTGAGGATCAGGGATGGTCAGTGGGGGAAGCAGAGACAGGCCCTTTGGCAAGACTTATCAGCACATCACCTTCCACATCACATCATGGCATTCTTCAGCGGGGTGGGCCTTGCAAGGAAGGTGGGACTGCCTTCAGGTGGTTGCAGAGACTCCCGCCCGCCCTGCCTGCAGTGCAACAGTTCTTTTCACACCTTCGTGTCCTACATACCCACGACACAGACCCCAGCACTCTGTCTTTCCAAAAAAAAAGTATTAGTTGTGCAGATTATACAACATGGTCAGATGGGCAGGCAGTGGCAGCTCATGGCAGGGGGGTGTTGGGAAGTGTTGGCTTGATCAACTCCTTGGAAATAGGCCTTGGGCTGTGGCAGAAGCTAGAGGTCCTGGGTTCCTAGAAGAACCTGGCGGCGGTGCACATCCACTTCCTGGGTGATTCCTAAGTTGGGGGTGCAGCAGCCCCACCCACTGCCACCTCTCAGGGGACTAAGGGAGCTAAGAGGGAAGGGTCCACTTCCCATCCAGCTCCCTGCTTGTGGCCTGGAAAGGCAGTCGAGGATGGCCCAAAGCCTTGGGATTTGGAAGAAGCTCCTGGCTCCTGGCTCTGGATTGGCCCAGCTCTGCAGAGTCTGTGTTAGTAGGAGCCTGGAGTGGAGCTCTGATGTGGCCCATTGCCCTCCGCAGACAGTGGGCTTCGGAGGACAGTGACCAGGTCCTGGCCTTGTGCTCCCCGTCCTCACGTTGCTTGCTGCTCCCGGATGGACCCGATGAGCCTGCGCTCCATGCCCTGCGCAGGTTTAGGGTTGTGCTGCTACAGGGGTTTGTGTGGGTGTGTAGCTGGTTTCTGTCCACAGTGCAGAGTCCTGGGGTGGCCAGCAGTATCCGCTTGTGCAGCTTCTTGGCTTTGTGATTCTGTCACTAACACACTCCCCGATTCCTCAGTCTGTTTTCAATATTCCTTGTTTAAAAAAGATTTATTTATTTTTGTTTGGAAAGCAGAGTTACAGAGAGCAAAGGAGAGAGAGAGAGATGAAAGTCTCCACCAGAACTGCTCCACCAGCTCCACGGCCTCTCCGCTGGCCTCCACTGTCCTAACCTGGCAGACAACCCCCTCCTCTCTCAGGGCTCGCCCATGGCCTTGGGGTTGGCCCACTTCCCTCAGCAGACGGGCCCTGCTCACCTGAGTGAGGGCCCATCCTGGCCACTGCACCACCTGGCTGCTTCCCTTTGCATGTCTCTGTCATGGTCCCTGCCCACTGGGGCCTCTGGGCTGCCTGGCTCACCACGGGCACCTTTCGTTCCCCCACGTGGGTGCAGGGCCCAGGCGCATGGGCCATACTCCTCTGCTTTTCAGGCGCGTTGGCAGGGACTAGACTGGGAGTGAAGCAGCTGGGATTCGAGCTGGCGCCTGTGCATGTGGGGTGCCAGCACGCAGGCAGCATCTTGACTTACTCCACCAAGGTGCCAGCCCAGCAGAGCGCTTCCTTGGCTGTGCCTCAGTGTGAAGCAGCTGCAGGAGGAGCCAGCGGTCTTCCTGCAGAATGTCCACGCACGAGGTGGGCTGCTCGTGTGTGCCTGCTCTGATTCACACAGCGTACATCAGCATGTTTAAGATGTTGAAAATGCATGTGTGTGCCCACCAAAGAACTTAGGCAATAGAATTTGGTTTCTCCCTGCGCCCCACTCCCAGCTCACTGCCTGTCTTCCCCACCAGCTCGCTCTTGGTGAACCCAGCACCGCCGAGCAGACATGGCCTT